TCCAGTTTTGACGAGCAACTTGACTTGCTTGTTGGTAACTCTGGGCTTCTTACGCGGCGGCGTTACAGTGTGAGCTGAAGTGGCTGCAGAGTCCTTCCGCCCCTGCCACATACGCAGGAATGCCCGGTGGTTATTGTCAAGCCAGCCGTCGCGATAGTGGACACCGTCACGGGCAGTGACATGGGTGTCAGGCACCTTCCAGAGCGCTGAGAGGTGGTGTTTGTAGTGCGGGTGTAGTATTGTAGCAGTGTAGTAGACAGGCGCGTTATCGAATTTTGCGTAGTACTCAGCAAGCTTACAATGCGCAAGGTTAACGTTTGTAATAAGATGATCTTCAGGCGCATCTAGATCTTCGTAATATTCACCACACTGCTCTTTAGCACCCGCGCCAATGGAAGACTAGCTCTGAAATTGGAGTACGCAAAACACCACCCAAATTGTACAAGACCCATAGAAACTCCACAACGACCATCATATTGCGTAGTACTTAGCAAGCTTACAATGTGCAAGGTTAACGTTTGTAATAAGATGATCTTCAGGCGCATCTAGATCTTCGTAATTTACATCCTTAAGGCGGTCTTTGAGAGCCTTAAGCTGGTTAAGAAGCTACTCAAACGTTACTAGAACTTCCTATATAGCGCCGTGTCGGCCGTGTCGGCCGCGACCTTTAAGTAGCCGTGTAGCTTCGGCAAATGGCTCAAGGAGTCGAATGTATTCTGTTATTGTCGCCTAGTCCTTGCCGCTTAGACCCCCTTCGCGTATATATAACCGTGGCTGGGCAGCAGGGAGCTGCTCACGATTCTTCCGGCGTCGTGAGGTTGCTGTTGCAGCACTATGCTCCTCAAGTTTACACTCAATATAGCCATCGATAGGGCCGTGTAGCTCAGCTGCACGGACAAACGTGTTGAAATAGCTATTCCAGCGTGTCTTAACAGGCTTCACAAGCTGCCGGATGTGGGGTGTAACACCTAGAGACTCTGCCTCCTCGCACTGTAGGCGCTCTAGTAGTTGTCGAGTTTGAGGCGTACAGATAGACGCAATCACGTCAAAGAGGACGCCAACAGGACCGTATTTGCGCCACTCATCCATGTACTTCTCCTCTTCCTCAAGGTGTGCGGCTTCATTCTCGTACGCGCTACGGTCTTTGCCCCAAATTACTAATTGTGCGCTTAGGTTGAGTATATGGCAGCAGCACCGCAGCCGCCGCTCGCTTGCGATAAAGCCAAACTCCTCTGCTAAGGACTCAACTGCAGTATCATTGTTACTTGCGTTGTCAAGCACAAAGTACCCAACCCTCGCGTTGTCAACGCCAAATAGCCGAAGTATTGTTGTTGCTGCAGCGGCAATATTATTGCCAGTGTGCGCCCCGTGTAGCTCAGGCAACCCAAGCAGGTGGTCAACTAGCTTGCCCTCGCTGTTAAGGTAATGTACGCAGAGGCCAGTAAAAGCATACTGCCCACCAGTTGAAGTCCAGTTGTCGAATGACACGTGTATAAGCGACCGGGCTTCGCGAAGGTAGTTGGCAACAGCTAGTATGTATGTATTGTACTCAGTAATAATATGATCGTGGAGCGTTTAGTGGCTACGCCAAAGGAGAGCTTCGGCTAGCGGGCTCACGGCCGCAATCATGGCTCGAAACTGCGGCGTTTCTATTACGCGAAGGCTCTGGTTGTCCGCGACTACCCAGTCCTTCAGCGCGTCCTGAAATCGAGAGGTTGAAAAGCTTGCTGCTATCTCGTTTGCTACCTCTTGCGATACTTCTATCCCTTTAGACCTCATAATATATACTTGGGACTTTGCGAGCGCGCCCATAATATTGCCCTCCCGGCTAGCAATTGGTACAGGTCCGTTAGGTCCGTGTGAGTGTCCAGGCTTGTTGCTTGAGAGGTGTCGGCCGGCGTTTGTAGTGCTGTCAGCCTCGTAGCAAGCCTCCTGCTTCCGTCGTTGATGGCAGTACCGGCAAAGCCAGTAGTTTTTCTTGTACTTGCGGTGCCAGACGGCCCAGCCGTGGCGGTAGATCCAGCTTTTTGGCCCACCGCGACTATTACGCTCAACCTGGCGCCGCTCAAGATACGGCACACGCTTAAAATCAAGCCCGTCGTAATTGTCGTCGTCGTCGTCGTCGTCGCCGTCGTTGGGGAAGTCCGCCTGTACTGCCAAGGGCTCATCAGCCTGGGCCTCGCTCGCAGTATCGCCAACAGTAGGCGCATTTGATAGCGATGGTAGAGGAGAATTGCGCTTGTCGCATTCTACAAGGCGGCGAAGGCCTGAATTAGAGGGAGTAGACATGAAGTACACCAAGAAGTATTATGGCAACAGTAGTCTAGCGTCGTGTGTATAGCAGACGCGACGCGACGCGACGCGAAAGGCTTACTAGGTGCGCACCGGGTAGCGCATTTCCGCAAACTCTAATTAGCTTAAAGCTAGATGCTTTAACTTATATAGGATTAGTGTCTTTATATCTAGGACTAGCGCGGCTTCGAAGCCGCACTAAATGTGGCTTTCACAACTCTAAAATACTGCTTTAAAAACAGCTAACGTCAGTCTAACGTCAGTCAGTTCAGTCAGTCTGGAGGCTTCTGAACTGACTGGACTGACGTCCAGCTGCCTCAAGAACTGACTGACTGAACTGAGTCTTGGCAGTCAGTTCAGTCAGTTCGAACTGAGTTACCTGACTGATAGCAAGTCTGCTAGCCATGGGCTGGTTGAACGCTTCAAAACGGGATGTTATAGTAGTGTCGTCCAAAACCTCAGCAATCTGTTGTGCAATAGCTCTAAATATCGGCACTTCACCGTCAGCGTCTGGTTGTTCTTGTCCGTTCCTTCTGAATAAGTACATGGCAAACTCATTGAGGATATAAGCGATTCCTTCATAGTCCCCATGAAGTATCTGTCTACCCTCAGCAGTGCGGTTATAAAAGTCATTGGCTGCGTTATCCATATCGAGGAAGAGTTTGGTAACCTCTTCTGTTGGGACACCAGCCCAGGGGTCCATGTCATTGCTGCAGAAGATTTGGGCCACCTTGTCGAATCTATACCGAAGTCGTAGAGCTTTGGCTTTGGTTTCGATACTGCGAAACACGGTGTTCGCCTCCTCCAGGGAGGGAAACAGTTCGTTGAATCGAGATATGGTCATAACAGCCCACATAAGGATTATGTGATCATTGTGATGGCCTTGGCCAAATCGACTATGAGTATCCATATTTTTTGTGACTTGTGTGGTTCTCTGATTGTTTGGCTATTGGTATATCTTGGCTTACTGGGAAAAATACAACTTTCTTTTATATTATATTTCGAAGTCCTCATGCGTGATGTTGTAGGTAGACGTGATGGAAACATTGTTCAACACTGTAAATTTCACAGTGTATTCCGTCTGCGATGTTTCCATACAATGAAATTTATCCTCCATTGTGTGTCAATCCCACATACCACTGCGGAGATATTTCAATTCCAGACCAAAATGGCCTTTTGAAATCTTCTCATGACCAAAAGCTGTCTGGTGACGGATTCCAATAGCTGAGCTCGAAAAATAAGACAAGGGTGGTTAGTCTCATATATACGCTTTGTGAATATAGGTACTATCATCGAAAATCAGCAACATACTTTCATGGTGCATCATGATAGGTGAGAGGTCTAGGAAAGAAGTTAGGGCACATCAATTATTTACAAGCGATTTGTGTATAGTTTATCATCTTATACCCCTTTCTAACCCTGATTCAAGACTGATTGTTATTGTGTACAGATTTGATAAAGTGCAACCCACATCTCTTTGTCTACACCTTACGATACTTAAACATAGCTAAGACAAGATCCCACAGCAAACAAGATTCTTAAGTTTTTACGACAGGTTCAAAGAGAAGAATTATTGGAGAATTATGAATTCATAATCATCGCCTCAGCACGACACAACAAGAGTGGTTGTATAAAGCCTTAGACTGTGTTTTTTACCTAGATATCTTCACCCCAGGACGTTCGAAAAGATGATGCTGTTAGGAAGCAGACTCCGCAACAATCAATCGGATCGGCATGATTGATTCCTATCTAGGTTAAAGGCTGCCTAATAAAGTAACTCTTTAACCTATATAGGAATCAATCATGTCGATCGATTGATTGTTGCGGAGTCTGTTAGGAAGTCATTCAAACTCATTTTCACACGTAAACAAGCTTACTCTCTGCCCCATTTCAACTGGTTTCTAAGGTCATCTGAGACTTTATGGGATGTTAGTAGACGTAAATATAACTGATTTTACCGCTTTTCACGCCACATGTATATCCTGCGAGAAACCAAGCGTAAACCTGGAGCCTCTAATGTATGTCTACAAGCAATTTCGATTCTGCTTTGTTTCTTGATGCCACGTGCTCAGGTCGTGCTCTCGGTATGGTCACTGTTTCGCTTCTTAGAGGGCGCCATCTCCTACCTCTACAACCGGTATATGAGGGTATTCCTTGTTGTGACAGCGCCAGACTCCGCAACAATCAATCGATCGACATGATTGATTCCTATATAGGTTAAAGAGTTACTTTATTAGGCAGCCTTTAACCTAGATAGGAATCAATCATGCCGATCCGATTGATTGTTGCGGAGTCTGGACAGCGCAGAATGTGAATGGCCCACTGAAAGCCCTGAGAACTGCAGGTATGAAATAATCGTAAGCGTTCCAGAGTTTAACGACAAGGCCAGTTGATGCTTTTGCACAGCGTGCTCCAGTGAAAAGGTCACGCTATGGAATTTTCAACGTCCCTCAGAAGGGTAAGAATATCGTATTGATACTGTCAGATTAGGTGCTCTACCGCTCGTTCATCTTTCACATTATCGAAACACTATATAGTAACCGCTAATCAGATATCTTAAGAAATACGCACCTAACTTCTAGCTACCTTGCGGGTTCAAAGTAATTGGTTATCCTGCTTCTTTACGACCTAGATAGTGTAAAACCTTAGACTATGCGCTAAACTTATATAATTCTACTTTAAAGATGCTCGTGTTACAAACAGCATTCTATATAGCGTTATGTCTACTGTGTGTCTATACGGTTAAGTAAGCGGAACAAGCAATCATGATATTTGCCGCATCTTAAAAGACCAACTGAAGCGTGTATAACTGAGACCTAGAAATGTTCCTGAAAATGTAAGTAGACTATATCACTGCATAAAATGCACAAGCGGTGCAACGACACGCCGAACTTGGGTTTGGTGAGATTTGACCGCTCGCGACTAACGCGCCGACAGATCCCGCGTAACTTTCTGACATGAACCTACATATCATCTCTATCACCAAGCCATCATCAACCATGGCGACGACTTATGTGATCTGGGGATAGACGTACAAGAAAGAAGGCTGGTTTGCCCAGGATCTTGAGTAAACAGCCTGTAAGTACAGTGCTGGAGATGATCACAGACAGGCCTAGAACCAAACGCCGATTTGCATGGTATCGCGCAGTCAGCTCTCCTAAGGGATGATGCAATCTCAATTGTATAATTGGCCCAAGACAAGGATGTCCCCGCCTAACCCATCTGAGGAACATGATGTCAGCACCCTCTTCTTTCCAGCCCTTAATATATATACTGCGTAGCTGGTAGCTTCTTGGAAGCATTTCTCTATCAGCCCATCCTCTCATTTCGGTACTCATCCCCGGTGTACGAAACTGGACAATTACCGATTTACAGATCCGACGAAAGCGTTAACGAGTGATTCGACCTTACCTTCTCTCATCGATTCATCGGATCCTGCCTCATATTATTGTATTTACGTCTACTAACATCCCTCTTGCTATCATGGAACTCATTGCTCCTCTTTTTGTCTTTGCAACTGGAGCAATGGCCTAATTCTTTTGTAGTGCCGGTGTACCAGGCGACGGCGGCAGGGCTTGCGAGCTTGCAGGTCGCAACACATATTGCGTACGATAAGAACTATACGCCCTGATGTTTTGATTAGTATATTAATTCTAATGTGTTTTCTTAGCGCACCGGGGACAACCCGAATGTTAATCCACAATTCCCTACATGGCGAGAGCCTACATACGTAATGCCAGCTAAGAATGGAGGCGGGCCAGTTAGATGTCTAGGTTCAGGTGAATTGTATTATACTTAGAATGCAGAGGCTTTATGGCCACGATAAGGTGTAGGAATTTGTGGATATACTATTGAGATCGAAGCGATAATAGTGGGTTAAAGTAGTGGATCAGACAAGTTTTTTCAACATCGACGTCTTGTCAAGTAAATGTAACTTCAAGAAAAATCTAGCATTGGAGCTGGACGATAGGCTCTTCTCTTTGATCTTTTTGGACACTTCTTTCGTAGTGTACTTGCATACTAAGAGAGATAATATAAGAGGCGCTAAGGACTTACTGCAAAGAAGGCGGTAGGGTTAGGGTGTTAGTGTAGCGGTTGGGTCAAATGTGGGTTGGTAGCGGTGTTAGGAGTGGGTGACGGAGTTAAGCGCCGGATGCGCGTCATGCTTATTCCCGGCCATTTTGGACATGTGGCATTAGCAACGAGGTGATTTCGATGCTGACAGCGCCGTCGGCAGAGGCCAACGATGAGCAATACAGATGGACAAGGGAGAGAGAAAGTAGGAGATGCCGGACTGTTGGTGGTCGCTACCTAGGTACAGGGAATTGGCTAAATTGCCCAAAGCAGCATGAACTGTGACAGCGGAATGGTTTCAGTCGTATGACAGCTGTATGTTTCAGGCAATCATGCAAAATCGGATCGAGCTTTGTCATAGGTATGCTATCAAGCGTGCAAGCATGGCATTTCCGTAGTCCCTGACGCGTGTCCTCTTTTCTTTCCATTGGCTGCGCCACACCAAGAATGTCTTCGGGCCTCCTCGCCCGGTCTAGGCTCGGCGCATCCCTGACTGTGGCCATGGACGTCTTCATCTTCTCTGACAGCGACTATCACAATGGGCTGACTGAAACAAAGTTTGCGCAATTCCAACAGCCCGTTTTCTCCACCCGACTCTCTATTCTATACACTCCTTTGGCCACCCCAGAAGCAGATGACCCCGTCGTCTCACAGCGACCATGTCCAGCTTCCGCAAGCACATGCCACGTCCGGCACGCCTACTCCTCACCGCACTCCTTATATACGCCTTCTTCTGGCTGAAAGGATGGCCGCGCGAGTACGACGATGAAGAACTACCCCCGAGCAAGCGCCGCTCGCAGGAAACTCCTCTCGGCCCCCACACCATCCAGCACGAACAACTCGTCGTATCCGTCACCACGACGGCGAATAACGCCTACATCAAAATCCCGCCCCTTATCCTCAACACGGCCGACGAGGACCATGGCATGCTACTGCTCTTCTCCGACTTGCAAACTGAGGTTGGGAAATGGCCCATCTTTGACGTCATCTGGCGATATGGGCAGCAGTTCATAAAGAAAACGGAGGGGTTGGAAAGATATCGGGCGCAGATCGAATATGCGCAGAGAAGCATACCGCTGATTCAGCTGAAGAATGACAATCCCGAGGAGGAGAATAAGGCAATGGTTATGCTGGACAAGTACAAGATATTGCAGACCATGGCAGCTGCTTGGGAATACCGACCGGGAAGGAGCTGGTACGTGTTTGCATGGGATGACACGTATATCAACCGACCCAATCTTGTGGATTGGCTCAGCCAGCACGACCCGAAGGAGCCACATTTCTTCGGGAACCCACCTACACCACCAACCTACATGGTCCCCGACCCTTTTGCCGCCGGTGGCAACTCCTTTATCGTTTCGGGAAAAATTATGAAAGAGCTATTCGAGGTCCGCAGGCATTTGGCGCGGGATTGGGGAAAACAGATCGCAAATTACACGTATGCCTTTGACTTTGTTTCCGGCATGATAAAGGAAGAGCTCAACCACGATTTCGTAAGCGTATGGCCCGGCATATCTGGCTTCGATCCTACAACGATACCCTTTATGCCCTCTCTCTGGTGCGAGCCAGTGTTGATCATGCACCATGTCGCCCCAGACATCCTCAACCACCTGTACAAAATGGAGCAGGAACAGCCACACGACCTCATCTCCATACGGTTCGCAGACGTCTTCAACCGCTTCATGGCGCCCGAGAACCTCAACTACACCCGGGACGACTGGGACAACCTGTCGTCCGAATCGTCGAACTCACGTTGGAACATTCTATTTGACGGCGACCAACCAGGAAGCGATCGTGCTCAATCTGGGGAGGCGTCGCCAAATGCATGCAGAGAGTCTTGTGAAAAGTTCAGATATTGCGTACAGTGGTCCTACTCCTCAATCCAAACAACCAATTGGAACGAGAACCGCGAGACAAAATGTCACTTGAGCAGCAGTATACGTTTCGGCAGGCATACTGACCGACAAAAGTGGAAAGTCAATGACGAAGTCAAGGTCCTGCAATGGAAGAGTGGATGGAACAAGGATAAGTTCATGGCTTGGGCGAATCATCAGCGATGCAAGGAGGTGCATCAGTAGGGCGGAGTTCTGTGTTTTGTTTGCAGCGTTCAAGCGTTTTCCTTTCCTCTGCACTACTATTCAATCTATCATTTGTAGTTTTTGCCAGTTATGGCTGGGACTGTGTGGTGAGTCCGTAAACTTTCTTCTTTTTGCAGTGGCAGGGTCCATTTACGGAGCGCCAGCTAGATATCATGCGGCCACAGGCGACGGTGGGTGTATCTGGTAGTTTAGCAAGCAAAAAGACTCAAAATGGGGCATAAAAAAGGGACACTACGGCATAGAATGGATCGGCTCGTGTCATGGAGTACCTGTGTGTCGCCAAAGTGGGCCAGGAATGTATAGAAATTAGCTAATTAAAGAACCTTTGGGGTTTTGACACAGTTAGAGAATTCATGATTATGTTCGAAGACATGGCATCTGAGATACGGGGCAATAGTGACGCGTGAGCACGTGCCATCGCCTAAGTCTGCCAGCTTGCATTCCTCCGAAACCAGGTTAAGCTGCGGGCGGCGCAGCTCCTGCGTCCCGCATCACTCTGACATCAGCGATAAAGCAATTCATTCTACCCGCTATTGTTTCGAGCCTTGCTTCTTCAAACTGAACCTGGTCACATGCTGCATTGTGGAATCAAAAGTGTGGCCCTAGAGCGTTCTTGTGGCGCCGGTTGGACGCGTGTTGACCAACCGCGGCATTTACCCCATCACGAACACCCGTTTGCACAGTCAGCGCCCCGTTTGCACAGTCAGCGCCCCGCTTGCACACTCACTCAGCACTGGACGGGTAAGCTGTTACACTGATGGTCATCCCTTCGTATCTCATCCAATCTCATCTTACGCGGGAACAATGTCTCTGGAACGCGTCCAAGAAACCTTGGCTACTCTAGGTTTTGGACATTATCTCAATGCATTACTATCGCCAGATTCGATGACCTGGATACAGTTTGGAGCTGAGCCTGCTCTAGTCATCGGAAAGAAGGATGATAAGGATGTTCTTGCATATCTAACTGAATATCGCAAGAAAGGGCTAGAGCCACGGTATACCGTGGCCACCAACGCTGCCCTAGGGGAGGGGGAGTTACTTTGGAGTCGGGATGCAGTCTTGCAATGGCCTCTCTTTGAGCCATTCAACACCATCACCCAAGGCACAAAAGCGAGAATGAAGGTTAAGCTTACCATGCTGGTACGCTTCTATTTTCTGTGGAAAGGTCACTTACCTGAATTGCACGGTGACCTTGATAAAGTTTGCAAAAATCTTGGACGTGTAATGAAGAGTGTGTATCGAGAGGGTGAAGGGGATGCTCTCGAAGATGACGAAGCCGACATGATCGAAGAGAGTCCGGAGCCTGAAGATACGGCCAGTACGCTTGAGATGCGTTCGGACAGCCGTGATGGGACGAAAAGCGAGGGAGCTGCTGGAACGATCGAGGAGCCGAAGCGTACAAGCACCACACCAATTCTTCAGAGCCAGGAAACGAATTCAAATGCATTTGGCCTGAGGCAGTATCTGATAGACCGCGGTGCCTTGTATCTTTTGGATAACATACCCGAGCCTGAGGAGATACAATTCACCGACCAAACATTCTTGGAAGAGGCCCAGCCAAAGAAGCTGTTTGTTGGGAGTCGCAAAGAATCAGGGGAAGACATATACGCATACATGGTCCGGGCAGGACAGCGCTACGAGATACGTTTCTTTGTCGAAGGCGATGACTTCAGGACCCCAATACGAGCCGATGATGTTGGAACACAACGCTTATTACATCCCTTTAGCAAGACATTTCCCAAGCCTACGTCACCCAACGTTGTGGCTGACCAATCCAGACTGGCTCTCATGGTCAAGTATTACTTCATCGCAGCTGGTATTGCACCCGACGATGTGCTAAAGGAATCAAAGACCTTCGCAGAGCGCCTTCACTCGGCACTAGGATACATTGCCAAGCGCATGGGCCCAGCAGCAGTCAAGCCACCACCACAAGCTATAATCGCAAAATCACCAAAACGCCTGGACAACAAGGCCAATAATGCGAACAAGGCCAACGATGATCCAGACAAAACGGACGAGGATTCAGAATCAGAAGAGAGTGACTATGTCTTCAAAAGCAGTATCAAACCCACAATGGCCGGCGACAAACCACCCCGCATCTCAACGACTCCTAAAAAGCCTGAAGCCTCAAACTCGGAACACAAGAAACCAGTATTCGCTCGCAAATCCGCTCCTACAATCCCCCGCCGTCCAACCCCCGTCGACTCCATACCCACCCCTCCCGCACCCAAACCAACCCCTCCCACCGTCGATTCAACAAATATAACAGTAACCCCCTCCGCAAGCCCCACACCCGCCCGTCCCCTCCCCCCTGTCCCCGTCCAATCCACCTCCACCACCAAACCCAGCCCCTCTACCACCAAATCCCCCAAGACCATCAAACCCACCAAGACCTCCAAACCCTCCAAACGGCCCCGCACCTCCGATTCCTCCTTTCCCTTCGATGACGACGCCATCTTCGAAGACCTGCGCCGCCTAATGACACAAAACGACGACCTAACACGCGACATCAACGCCGTTGCGCACGAGCTGGAAACCCATGAGATGCGCAAAGAAGCCTTTTTGGCGAAGTGGGAGGCTAAGCATGATGCGCTCGTGCAGAAGCAGGAGAAGATGAAGATGGAGAAGATTGAGGTTAGGCGGCAGGTTTTTAAGAGGCAGAAGAAGTGTGAGGAGGCGTTAGAAGAGGACTGAGAGGGTGGGGTGTATGGGGAGGGATGCATATGGGATGGAGATGGGGATGGGGTAGGAAGGAAATTTCAATATTATCCATAGTGCCACAGTACATCATTCCTGGCGTATTGAATTGGAAAATTATCGATTAATTTGGTTTTTAGGAGATGTGTTCCGACCTTGCCTTCCTGAGAAATATGAGGGGAGGGTGGAAAAAGAGAGGAATTAGGTTGTGTTGACACGGCAAAGGTGTCGAATACTAGCAGTCGTTGCAACGAACAAAGTGTATAGTATTTGATTAGTAGTGAGCAAGAGCTGGATGGAGAGATCTCCATATGTACGGTTGCGAGCTAAGCGGGAAGCTTGGTCTAACTACAGTGCACGGTCACCAGATGATCACCAACGCCAGTTGAGCACCCCAACAACTCAATATACTCAAAAAGATGGACTTGTAGAGCCCCCACTAGTCGTGATAAAATTGCGTAAATAATAATTAATACTATATACAGGCCTGGGAAAGTCTTGCGCTAGTCAAATAATTTTTTTGTGGGCTGGATTGGTCGTGAACGGCGACTACGCGCTGGGGTAGCTGGTGCAACGCTTGCGACTCCTACCACAGCTGGAGCAACCCCAACACGCTTTTGACGCTTTGTAGCTGGTTTATGAGGTTGTGAAGCTTTGCGCTTACCCTTTTGGGGCAATTGTATAACTTTTCTGGCGTTGTTGAGGGGCTTCTGGTGTTGTTTCTCAGCCAGTTTTGCAGCAGCTACCTTCCTCCGCTCCTCCCGGAGTCTCTCACGCTCAACACGCTTCTCCTTCTGTAGTTGAAGCTTGCAGAGGCGAGCTTTCTCCTTCATCTCAGCTATCTCGGCTTTTTGAAGCTGTAGTTGTTCGGCTTGTTGTTGTCGTGATACCTGATCATCCCGAGCTTGTTGTACACGCTTGGGTGACCACAAAATAGCTCCCCCATGATACTCAGGATGGTTATCAAGCTATAGGGTGTAGGACTTGTTATCCCGTCTCTTCTTGATGGCTAGGGAGTTTCTGAGACCTCTGACCTCGCCGCGGAGGAGTGTATTTTGAGCTGCAATGTGGTGCAAACTTCGTTGAAGCTTCTTGACGTCCTTGTTGCTCTGATCCCTCACCTCACGGCGTACAATTGACTTGAGCTTGAGCCAATCCTCCCCGGAGAGTACAGAGGTTGAGCTCTCTTCTGAATCTGATGCCTCCTTGGCAAACTTTTTGAGTACAACCTCTGGGTTGGGTGGGTGTATACCAGTTGCTTCAAAGGACCTCTTGATGAGTAGAGGTTTGAAAGTCTTACTCCAAGCCCTCCAGAAGAGCGGGAAGAAGTCTCCTTTAGATATATTAAGTAACCCTTGGCTGTCTTGAAGGTATTCAGCCAACTCAGTTGAGTAAGCGTTCGCGAGAGGTTTAAACATCACAACGTCAAGCGGTTGAAGCGTATGGGTAGCGTGAGGTGGGTATACAGCTAATAGGATCTTGTGGTCGTTGCAGTAATTGATAAAGTCCATAGTAACATGGGATCCATGGCCGTCAAGGAGTAGTAATCGATACCCAGTTGAAGCATGCCGTCTGGTTTCTCTCTCAAACACCTCTTTGAGCCAAGCTAACCCAATATCGTTGTTGCTCCAGCCAGAGGGAGACGACGTAGTAAAGACCGAGTGCTCCCCTACTTGTATAGCATCAACCCAGCTTGATTGAACAGCTCCATTGGCTCCCTTGAAGATGAGTGAAGGACTCAGAACTGAGCCATCTGAACAGATACAAGCCAGCACTGTTATCCACTCAGTTGAGCCATCCTCAAGTGCTTGGCGTACCCCCTTTTGATCGTAGAGTGCCTTGGAGAAGATACGCTTTGTTCTGCCAATCCTTCCAAGTTGAAACCCCTTCTCATCCATATTGAATATATGGGTGGGCGAGATGTTGTACTCCTCAATCTTATCAAGGAGAAGCTTGAAATACAAGCTGTACCTGGCTCCTGAATCGGCTTTGCACCGTTGTTTGCTCATCCCCTTGCTGTAGGCAGAGATGAGATGGTTGGGATGCCGGCGGAGGAACCGGGAAACCCAGGTTTCTGAAACCGCTTTTCCAGCCAAAGATGAAGCAAAGCGTTGTATCATTAACCTCGTAGGTGGCAAACGTCGTTCAGTAAGTGTCTGTATGTACTTTACAAGCTCGGTTTCGTGTTGTGGATGGAGGGAGAGCTGGCGCACGCCATAGGCCTCGGTTTCGCCCTTGTGCCGTCTCATCAGCGTCATACGTCCTACACCATACTTTTTAGCAATTGCTTGGTACGAGAATTCATCTCCTGGTTCGCGTGATTCGATTTCTGCAATCGCTTCTTGAATCGGATCCATATTGGTTGAGTTATGACGCGTTGAAGTTGTGTTGTGGTGGTGGTGGGGGTGCTCAACTGGCGTTGGTGATCATCTGGTGACCGTGCACTGTAGTGGTCCAAGCTTCCGGCCCGGAAAAACTCGCCGGGCTGGCTGTACGCGCATGTCCCGACAGGTTGTGAATGTTGAGATGAAGATGACATAGACGTTTTTATTCTTAGCTACATGAGTGTGGCTAGCTTAGTAGACTGAGAAATTGTAACAATAGATATTCGCCTGTGGGATAGTCTTAGCTTAACGTGTCCGTGCACCTCGTGCACGGATTCATCTCGTGCACGCTGAACACCAAACGCGCGTCTCAGCGTCATAACTTCAACGCGCTATAACTCAACAACCGTGGCTCCAATTAATGATGCGATTGCAGATTTAGAGTCGCAAGAACCCAGAAAAAAACTTGTATTAGCAGAGTTTGCGAGGAAATGGGGTGTCAGCCGTGCAACTCTATCGCGGAGGTGGAGGCGCGTGACAGGGCCTAGGAGTAATGGATACGCTCAGCAACAAGCTATTAGCCCACAACAAGAGCTAGAGCTTGTGAGATATATCAAAACGCTCACAGAGAGGCCTTCCTCCTACAAGAGAGATGATCAGGAATTTCTTATTAGAAGTAGCCCATCAGCAGCTCAGCGAGAGCTAGGTTACTTGCTTTATCAACCGACACGAGATCTATCTTATCTCAAAGTGGACCAGCGCCATAGATCGTACGCGCCACCTGGCTGATTCTAAGTCAAAGTATAGACTCTACTTCGAGCTGCTGCATCGAAAGATCACTGAATACCACCTTAAAGCTCGAGATATATACAATATAAATGAGAAGGGCTTCTTGATTAGCTTAATAGGCAGAAGCAAGAGAATATTTAGCAGGCGTCAATAGGAGAAGAAGGAGGTTCGAGCATCTCTCCAGGATGGATCACGCGAGTTTCTGACAGTCCTGGCCTGCTGCTGCGCCGATAGGAGCTCGCTGCCCCTAAGCCTTATCTACGCATCTACGAAAGGAGCTATACAATTAAGTTAGGTAGAGGATATTAAGGCAGGAGAACATAATATCTTTGTCTTATCATCTCCGACAGGCTAGTCAAATAATAACATTGGTCTAGCTTAGCTTAAGCAGGTGTTTAATCGCTGTACAAAGCAGCGATTAGGGAGATAGAGATTACTTATCCTTAATGGCTATAGATCTTATGTCACGATGGAGTTTATTAAGTACTGCGATCGCCATAGGATTCTCCTCATAATCCTTCCTCCCTATTCGACTCACACGCTCTAGCCGCTCGATGTAGTGCTATTTAAGCCACTCTCTTAAGCCTACTCTAACGAGCTCACCAATCATCTCTATAAGGCTCAAGGCCTCGTCCTAATTAAGAAAGGAGATTTCTTCCTACTCTTCTAGAGCGCATAGATATCCTCCTTCACAGAGAACCTTATATTAAAGGCCTTCGAAGCTACTAGGATCTAGCTAATAGATGCTAACGTTATCCTTCGTAGATTTGCCAGCATGCTAGAAGCTAAGAGAAGCTTATTGTTAGGGCTCTCTAATTATGATTAGAGAAAGATAGATCGATTAGTTCGAGCTGCTGTCACTAATAGCTATCAGTATAAGGCAAGAAAGCTGCGTTTAAGCGTCCACTATCTCTCTGTTTAGAATGAGCTTTTAAAGCATAAGAATAAGGGCTTAAAGGAGGCTCTTTAACACAAAAAGAAGCACAGGAAGAAGGGCAAAGCTCTTGACCTTTAACAGCGCCAGGAGTATCACGCTAGCTCTGTCTTCTAGTCTCCTTGCAAGTTGCGTGAGGCTCGAGCTAGAGAAGCAGTACGGGAGCGAGATGAGACGGAGGAGAAACTCCAAAAAGCATAGGCCAAGAAGCAGCGTAAGGAGGCTCAACTGCAGCGTTAAGTTGAGCTCGAGGAGAAGCGTGTAGAGAGGCAGAGGCTTAAAGAGATGAGGGAGGTTGAGCGAGCTGAGAATGCAGCTAAACGCGCGCGCAAAGTTGAAGCTCAACACCAGAAAAAATCTATCTAACAAGCTTAACAACGCAAGCGTAAAGCCTTATAAGTACTCTCACTAAGTAACAAGCGTCAAAAACGCGCTGGCGCTGCTCACGCTGGTGTTCAAGCTAGAGATAAGCTATCTGCTACTCCAGCCAAAGTCACATCACGTGGCCGCAACGTCAACCTCCCACAAAAATATAGATAGTACAAGTTAATCGCAAGCATCTGATTACTGCTATACTACGTTTTTATTAGTATTGAGCTATTATGTGGCGTTGTACAGCCTCATTTTTGAGATCGCTAAGATAGTGTTCGGCGTGCACGAGATGAATCCGTGCACGAGGTGCACGGACACGTTATTATCCTAGTATGAGAAAAATATCGCTAACATGTCTACAAAAACAGCAGGTACATTTGGATACTCGTTAAGCGCATGGATCCTGGCAACAAACAGCTTCATCTGCCACATTGTTGTCGTTAGAATTAGTGGAAATACTCAAGAGACTATTGGATAACAGAAAAACAACACCAATACTACTCACTTCTGGAGACAGGAAGCAGCCGTTTTTCACAGTTCAAAGGACAATGAGTAAAGCAAAGTACTCCATTCAATATAAAACTGAGCAGAAAAAATGCTACTGGTGTACGGTACAAGAATATATATCCGACCATGACCGACCACCACCCCCTTTCCCCCCAACTATCCCTCAACTCCGTAAAACAATCCCCATAAACGCCTTACACCTCAAATCAATAAACGAAAAACTCATACACACTGAAACCCTTAAACCTCCATATCCGCCTCAGCCATAACATGCTCTCCCTCATCCAACATCTCAATAACGCGTTTCAGCCCACCCACCATATCATTCGCCTGACCGACAAGCAGCAACTTCTCGGCATTAGCCGGCAGACCCAGATAAGTCGGTGGTTCGCGCTCGGGCAAATCATTAACCCAGCCCATGAAATCCTTCCAGCTGGTCGACGTTGGCAACTCGAGACCCTCAGAGTGCTCGGTCTCCTTGACAATCATAAAGTTGTCTTCAAACGCCGCGGGCGTCATGCAGGCGTTAACGAGAGAAGCGAGTATATTCCAGTCTTCTGCATCGTCGATTTTGCCGCCGTACATTTCCGTGATGAGGATGCGTAGCATTTCCCATGGGATCTTTGTAGGCGCAATGTTTGAGCGGCCTTGAGCGATGGTGTCGATCCATGTGTCGATGATGAAGCTGCAGCATTCGTAGTCGCTGTCGTTGAATTCCCAGAAACCCTTCCATCCTAGTGTAGGTGCGTAGCGCAGACGCTCTTGGATGACAGCGTGCAGGAAGGAGAGAAGAAGGTAAACACGCGCCTTCTCCACAGGTGGCTTGATCGCCTTCTCTGCAAGCGAAGAGAGCGAGTCCCTCATGTTGGCGCGGACTCCAGCCGGCTGTTCGTATGACAGCACGCGAGAGGCGCGGAGTAGGTTGACAGGAATCTTCGGGCTGGACTCCATGGAGAGGAAAAGACGGAAGTCAGGGTTGGGCTTGAGAGCTTCCAAGCGCTTCTCAAGTGATTGTAGCCACTGTGGAGCGAGATGAACGTTCTTGACAAGGACCCAGTTACCGGTTGTGGCGGCATTGGCGATAGCCTTGTCTGCGGATGCGGCACCTTCGTTGGAGCCCATGGCAATGTTGGAGCAGCTGACGTTCTCCCTCTCAACAAGATTGTCGACCTTGTAACTGGCATCGAAACCAGGGCTGGAGCTGAGAGCCACGGGAGTCACAGCATTGACCTGCTTGACAATGTCTCCCAGATCGCCACTAGCGTCCAGGATGCCCTTGCCAAATACTTCCGTAACGAAGCGCTCAACAGCAGGGACGAAGCGATCCACACGGAAGAGCTTCACGAGGATGAGAGCGCGCAGAAGCTTGTCGAACTTGGGAAGTTCATCGGGCCAAGCCTGGGGCACATGTCGCTCGCCCATCTCTTCGGTAAGGAAACTGTCCCAAGCGCTGTCTTCGACCTTGTCGAGCGTATCTTTGAACAGCGATATCTTGCTTGCACGTTGCATGGCTTCCTCCTTGCGGTCGGTCTGCGTTGACACATCGATGCCAACGAGATCTGGGTCAAGAATCTGATCAATGAGTGACTTGTCCATCTTGTACGGTGCAGCCTGCACGAGGAGCATAGCAAAAGTGACGCGATCCTTTTGGAGCAAGGAGAGCGAGGTGCGACGGTACGCGTCGACGAAGAGCTCAGTAACAATCTGCTCGATACGGGCGGCATGACCAACGATCGACGAGTTGCGAATCTTGCGCAGCACAGCCTCGAAGATCTGAGTAAAGTACTGGAGCGAGAACTGGTAGAAATGGTTGAGATGATGCAGTTGCTCCAGAACAGCAAAGATGGCCGAGCAAGAACGCGCCACGACCGTGTACTCCTTGGTAATGTTTTCGACCTCCGTCATGACACCAGCAGTCTCAGAGACCTTGTCGGAAATGTCCTTGGCTTCTTTCTTGAGCGTCTCCAGCGTTTCGATGACGCGATCGTCGTCAAGAATGTTACCGCGCGACTCATTGAGAGCCTGTAGCAGTCGCTTCTCGAGCTGACGAAGATGGACAGCAAACTCTCCTTGCATCTTGATAAGGTTCGATCGTCGCTCATCAACATCGGGCCTCTCAGACTTGAGAACCTCGTTGAGAGTCTGCGTCTGCAAGCTGCTCTGCGTAACCGTGAAGTTGACGAATGTGGTACGACTGCAGATGTCCGGTGGGAAGTTGGCAGACGGGTCGCGCGTCGAAAGGTACAATCGGAATGATGGCGAGAAGTCGATTTCTTGCTTGCCAAGCTGGATGAGCACACGACCTCCGGTCTTCTGGTACTCCTTGTTGAGAACGTGGTTAAGAATAGGATCCAGGTGCTCGGCGTCCTGGATCAAGATTGGGTTACCGAAACGCAACGAACTCTCAAGCTGCTTTGTAAACGAATCGTCCAAGAAGCTCGTCACCGTAAGACGGCGATCTTTGCATTCGTTCTGGAGGAACTCTGTGGTCCTAGCAGAGGGGTCGATGATCAATGGGTAACGGTTGAACCTCTGAAGAATGATAGCATTCTCTGTGCAAAGGTCATCGACAGGCAGACCATTGTGTTGCCAGTTCAAGCGATCATCGGCAGTGGAGAGATACTCCGTGAATGGATTCGTTGGCTTGAAGCTGATTCCGGAGTGCTTGAGATGGTCGTACCAGTCCTCTGTGAGTGCCTTCCGGTACTGCTGGTCGTAGTAACCAGCATAGGCAATGAAAGCCGCAGCAACCAAGACGTCACCGACAATTGTGTCAATCTGCGAATCGAAAGACTTGCTGCTCTCCTCCCAACGAGTACGTTCAGAAGATAAGCTGTCAAGAAGGCGTACACTGCGGTCAACCTTAAACTGGACAGTCGACATCTCCGTCTTGATGGCTTGCGTCTCGCTAATCAAAGCCGCATACTCGGTCTTGTACCTACCAATGCTGTCCTCGAGGTTTTGGATGAGAATCTGTGTCTCCTTGGCGCCCTCCTCCGTCTTCTGTAGTTCCACCTGCAGGTTGTCGACCTCTGCACGTAGGGGTCCGACTCGGTCAAGAATGTCGGAGTAGGTCACTTGAGCAGAGACCCACTGAACGAGTGGACCACAGGCCTTGGAAGCACGGTTGACCTTTTCGAAAGTAAATTCCTCCTTGGAGAGATACTCGTTTTGCATCTTCCTGCGGTGCGCAGCAGTCATCTGCCTCTCGTTGTCGAATTGCACAATGCTGGCAATAAAGTCGTCGCGCCTGACAATGGAAACAATGGTCTTCCAGCTATCAGGCTTGTGCCCAAGAATTGTGCAGACAGCCTCAAGCGCAAGTTTGACACCGGCGGGAGGGTTCTGCATAGATCGGACTTCAGTGAGATGTTGTCGCTTGATGTTTTGCACACTCTTTTGTGCTTCCAAAACCGCAGGCTCAGCAGCCGCTAGATCGTGGTTCACCACCTCTTGTCGCTTCTGAATCTCCTCCTTGTCCTTTGCAAGCCTAGCTTGCATCTTTATAGATCCCGCCTTCTTCTGTTCGGCCTCATTCTGATCCGCAATCATACGTTGCAGCTTCTCGTTAGCCTCAGCATCCTTCTTGGTAAGCTGCGTCTGCTTCTCCGCAAGACTTGCTCGTAGTTCCTTAACCTTGTCGAACGTCTCCCGAAGCTTCTCGAGACCGACATTAAGATGACGCTGTTGCTCTTCCAAATCTTCACGCTTCTCATTGTACAGCTTGACATATTGCGCGACGAAATCCAAGAAATGGCGTGGTGTAAGATACATCTTGCGGTTTTGCGTCTTCTGCAGCTTAGCGTTCTTGCTGCGTAGCGAGTGATGTACAGCAACCATTGCGTTGACAACGCTCTCGCGGTGAGATGGTGGAAGCGAGAGTCCGCGGTAAGCGACTGGAATGGAATCCGGGGCCACGTAGTTTGCGCGGTCCAAGTCAACAGACTGTGTAAGCTCAGAACTGACCTGGTACAGGGCCTGGTCAGACCAGTCTCCAAACCAGTTAAGCACACAACGATTGAAAAGAGCCGGACTAGTCGCAGCCTTGGAAGACAAGCCTTCCTCAGGTGGGTTCATAGTAAACACCACATGCAGGTTCTTGACAATCTGCTCCGTGAACCACTTGTACAGCTCTTCTTGTGAGTCGAGAATGATACCCTGTCGCTGAGCACCCTCCTTGATCGCTGTGAGTAGCGATGCGTACTCGTCACCCTCAAACAGACCAGGAACCTCCGCGTTGGCAAGAAGCGTGTTCATGCGCTCGAGGAAACCAGAGTCCAGGACATTAGCTTCGTCCATAATAAAGCAAATTTTCTCGCCCTTGCAACCGCAACGTCGAAGCACGGTACGCAAGTCCTCGTCAAAGTCTTCCCCAGAGTACTTGCCATGAACCTTGATCTGATAGACACTCAAACCGTTCATCCAGGCGACGAAGCGCGACAGTGTTGTCTTTCCAGATCCGCTGACACCGATGAGGATCAAATGACCCTGTGGTTGACGGAAGACACGATCGATGCGAAGAACGTGCTCGAGCACATCGTTGAACAAAATGAGCGGAACGTCGACTTCTTCCTCGCAGAAAGTACGAAGTCGGGCTTTGACAAACTCCCGTAGCTGCTCACGCTCAACCGGCACATAGTTCTTGGACAGCCAGTTGGAGAAGAGAATCGGGCCACCAAGAGCCTTCTCCTCATCGATGGTGGGGAAATGCTCAGCTGCGACACGGTGAACGCACTCTTCAGTCCACTGCCTCTCTTCCTCAGCAATAAGACGATCCTGGAACAAGCGCAAAGCTTCGTGGGCCCAAATCCTCACGAGACCTTCAACAGGCAGCGTCTCGAGGGGTCGAAGTGCCTCATAGATACCACGGACCCAGCGAGTAAGCTCACGAGGAGAGTAAACGTAGTGAGGTTGGATGTCAGGAGTGAAGCGCTTCTGCGATTCGGCAAACAGTTGCACCATGGCCTTGGTAAGCGCATCGGCGTAACCGCGCAGCGTCGGAATGATCTTAAGCACAGCCGTGTTGAAGGTGCCGTAAATCTGAAGAAGCGACTGCTCTCCAGGGTAGTCGACCATGATGAGTGGGGCGTGACGCAAGAATCGTAGTCCCATGGGCGTACGTCCAGCATCTGTAGGAGGGTTACAAGCACCGACGAATTGAATGCGGTCAAGCGCAACCCAAGTCTTGTCAGAAGTCCTCCAGAAGCCATTATGTTCAACAAGCTGGCGCAGGAAGGAGATGGCTCGCTGAGTGCCATACTTGTCGGGGGCCGGCAAGTTGATTTCGTCGCAGAAGATGACGAGCCAACGACCGACTTGAGTCGGGGTAAGCTGAACGCCGTTGAGAGTCTTCTTGTACTCGCAGTACTGCTCGAACGTCTTGATGAGAAGATCCGGTGTTGTTGCACTGGAGAAGTTAAGGCCTACAACCTGCATGTTGGGAAGCTTGCGGAGTGCACTGAACAGCGTCATCGTCTTTCCGGAACCCGGAGGACCACAGAGCAAGAGAGGCTTGTGCTCTGCAAGCCATGAGTAGAGCACGTCTTCGTGACGAACGGTATCAAGTGTGGGGATAACGACATCGGTCTGAGTAACGGAGTGGGTATTAACCTCAACCTGTGGTACTTGGCTCTGCCAAGTATCCCAGTCCGGCTTGTCTGGCTTGACATCGTAGTCGATAAGCGAGGTAGACTCATTCAGAGTCGGCAGCTCAACATCGGTAAGACCAGCGATAAGGTCACCGAATTGCTTGCGCTCCAGGAGAGGGCAATCACCGACCAAGGCCCATACCAACGCAACGAGCATCTTCTTAGCAAGATATGTCTCCATCTTGTCGTCCTCAAGAGGGAAGTCGGGGTGCTGTACATTGTACTCAAGCACGTTGCGGCACGCCTTGTTGAGCAACGAGAAAAGCGTGTTAAGCGCACGGATATCAGTGTACTCCATGATATGCTTGAACTTCCTCGCCATACTGAGTGCCTTCTCGATGAAGTGGTCTTGGGTGAGCTTGATGTGCAGGAAGTCGGCGATAAGACCCTGAGTCGCCATCGTCTTCTGCGACTGCTGGCCTGGCGCGACCGAGTCATCTTCGATGTCTTCAAAAGGCACCGTCTTGAGGTGCTCAATGTAGTTCTTAATCATCATATCTACCTCAACGGTATCGTCACTGAACCAGACCATACCGCAACGAGAGACAGTGGCAAGAGTCGCATACTTGAGTGTTTCGACTTCGAACATGATGCGAACGTTGGATGGCAAGTTGAGACGCTCTCCGTTGGGCAGAGTGAGTAATTTGTTGTCGTCAAGAACAGAGTTCAAGTTCTCGACCCATTCGGGATCGACATCACCGTCGAAAACAATCCAGTGTCGTTTGCTGTCCTCACCACGAAGGTTGTCGACAATCTTTCGCAATGTGTGCGTGAAGAGACCGTCAGTCCACTCGCGAGTTGTGCTGTCAAGTGTTCCGTAAAGCTGCTCCTTGGACATGACCTTGGGGTCGATGACGTGCCACACTCCCTCAACACCCTCAACAGCTTGCAGAGCAGAGATGAGCGTCCTCCAAGCCGCAGACTTTCCGGATCCAGAAGAACCGACCATCATAACACCATGGTGCAGCTTTTGAATCTGATACAGCTGGATAATCTTCGTCATCCAAGCGTCGCTGACAACATACTTTGATTCAGCTGCGCACTTATGAATGGCCTCGCTCAGCTTGTCAAGCGGTGCGGGGATGTACATGACACCAGGGAATGACGTCTCTTGGATAGCCATCATGAGTTCAACATCCGATCGGATGAGCTTCGGTGCCATGGTCTCGCGCAAACTCTGGATAATGATTTGAGGCTCCATGCTTGCTTCGTCGAGGGTCTGAGAGTCTTGCTGTGCGGCGATACGTGCTCGCTTCAGACCACCAGAGCTAACCAGGACACTCTTCAACGCACGCAGTCCGAAATCGTAATGCGCTTGCTTGGAGAGGCCAGCCGAGCACCTATCGAAGAATGGTACAACTTGCTTGGACAACTCCTTGGCTTGAGAGAAACCCTGTGAGTACAGCATGACTTCGGCAATGAGCTCTTTGTCAGGCTTGGACATGGCCACACTTCGGAAGAGCTTCTTGAGATTGTCTGGCAAGTTCGAACGACCCGCATAACCAGGGTTCATGGTGATGAAGACTCCAGTGTTGCCATTGACCTTGAGCTGGCGACCAATGAGCTCAATCTGTGACTTCTCATCCTCGATGCCCTTCTTGAGACCCAACTGAATGTTTTGAATCTGTTGAGACACGGCCGAGAGAATGCGTTCCTCAAGACGGTTGAACTCATCAAAGCAACCCCACGCACCGACCTGGCAAATACCGAGGAAAATACGGCCCATGGCTTGGAAGTCGAAAGTGTCGTCACAGCAGAAGACCAGGGTAAATCGACCGAGTTGCACACCAAGAGCTTTGACTGACTCAGTTTTACCCGTACCAGCGGGTCCGTATGGAGAGCCACCAAGACGCTGGCACAAAGCCTGCGTGAGGGTAAGGAAACAGCGGTCGGTAAGTGGAGTGCGCACAAGGCGATCAGCAACACCCAAGTACTCAAAACCATAATCAAGAACAGCGTTTGCCATCTTGATCCTGAGTCGCTGCAGCAAATCGTTGCCTGGCTCGTACACGTATCGCATACAGAGAAGCCACATGTGGTGGGTAGGTGATCGTGCGCCGACTTTCTCCAGCTTATGAATGACATCGCGTTGGTGAACGAATTCAGTGATGAGATCCTCGCACTTGCGACGCTGAATGGGCTCAAGGTCACCCAGGACAGCCGTAGCAAGTAGCTTAAGGACCTTGACTTGCTTCTCGTACAGGTGAGGCAGGGAAGCTCCCTCTTCGGCAAGCGACTTTTCAACTGCATGAGTCCAAGCAATCTGGGTTCCCAGAACGACAACTTGTGTGGGGTACTTGGCGATGTAGTCGTGGAAAGCCTCAGGATCCATGTTCTCCGGTTCAATGAGTTGGGCAAACTCTTCGTAGGCTTCAAAGGTCAACTCAGCCAGTGTAGTCTTCATGTTGGCCTCGAGTGCTCCGAGCCACTCATTGATCCTGGGTGTCTTGACGAGCGAGATCTCCTTGCGAAGCGTAACCTCCTCTCCTTCCTTGGACGTAAAGCCCTGAATGACTCCATCCTCACCAGTAACAAGCCCAGAGATACCAGCAAACATCTTCCTCAAATGCTTGGCAATACGAAGTACATCGTTGCTGTTGCCGATAATCTCCAGCAAGTCTTCGTCACCGACAAAGTAGAAGCGAGGAAACGACACACGCTCGCGCTCAAGGTACTCTCCGAGAGCCTTTTGAATCTTATTGAGGAGCTCGGCGAGACGTTCAAGAGACTTCTGCACACCGGAAATGTTGAGAACTTCCAGCACAAAAGGCTGTCGCGAAACCTTCTTCATAACAGACAAAAATTCCGAGTTGATGTTCTGGAAACGGGCTGACTCCATGGGGAGCAGATGCTTAATATCAGCGTTGCCAGTGAACACGCCCTCCAAATAAACCCACTGGCGCTGTACGTCGATCCAAACATCGAACAAAACGTGTACACGGTTGAGCTTGTCCTCCCAAGACGACGCCTCTTCCTCAAACTCCTTGTAGTAAGGTGAGTGTCGCATAGCTTGCAGAGAGTTGAGGTTCTCGCTGCACTTTGCGAAGAGGTCGTCCCAGCCTCGAATAAGGCGGCACTTGTTCTGGTAGTTGACCAGTTCGAGCGCATAGTTCTGCCACGTCTCACGCACTTGTTTCAGGAACTCTTCGAGCGCCATCTCACCTGCGGCTTGGGTGATGACGTCGCGTATAATCTTCTCGCTAGGGCCAAGCTTGAGGTCCCAGACATCACCAAGAGTCATAGAGATGGCTGAGTATCGTTTCTGCGGCCTCAGGTTCTTGAAGATCCTAGCCCAATGGCGTTCCTTTACAGCGTCGGACCGCAGCTCTGCGAGGATCGCGTTCTCCTTGAGCAGTTGCTTGAGGGTAGTCTGGACGTATTCGAAAGCCTGGTATTGTCGCATGCGGCTAGGCATGTCCTTGGTCATCTTGAGCAAGTTGTCAAGGTTCTGTCGTAGCTTGCGAGGCTGGATACTAGTCCACAGGACCTCACGGAGATCATCGATGCTGGCCCAAATCGTGCCAAGCGCTGACCAGACAGACTTGAAGTCCTGTACTTCCTCCAACAGAGTCTCGAGTGTGTTCTCAGGCGACGGTGGTAGTCCCAAAGCTTCCTTGGCTTTGGAGATGTTGCTAGACTCGTTCTGCAACTGGCTAAGCTTCTGGTCGAACTTGGCAAGAATAGTGGAGGCGTCAGCGGGCGCAAGGTTACCAGCAACAGGCTTCTCTTCTGCCCATTCGCCGGTGATATCCATGATCTTCTGGTTGACCACCTTGTCTTCCGCTGCAATCTTGGCGCGCAGCGCGTCGGCTTGATCATTCGCAATCTTGGTTTTCCTATCCAAGACCTCGTTGAGCGTCTGCCATTCATGATCAATCTGCTCCATCTGTAGCCAATCCGAGGGAAATTGGTATCGCTGGCGGGCTAGGGTAGCCTGACCCTGACGGAATGTAGACATCTCAGGCTCCCACTCCATGACCTTCCTCTTGCATTGCTGTACGGTGGTAATGAAAGATACAGCCTGTGCAGTAGAAGAGGCTTCCAGTGTTTGCATTTCCAGGTCTTTGCGTGCCTTCTCGACTTGCACATAGACATCGTTCATGCGCTGGCCAAGTCTGCTGGCAAACTTGGTAAGAATCTCTTGCTGCCACTGATCGTACTTGGCATTGACCTTAACTTGTACCTGGTCGTAGTCGACAGTGACGTAGCCAAATTGACGGCTGATGTCCGAGTTATCAAATGTAGCACGCGTCTTGCGAATCTCCTGCAGAAGTTGTAGCCATCGAGAAAGGTCTTCACCAAGGATGTCATAGACGTGTTCAGACTGCAAGTCCCAAAGAGACTGGAACTGAAGCCACTCGTCAACGTACGAGGAAATGTCGCGAAGCTTGCCTTCAACAGCGCCGTAGACTTCGATGAGTGATTCAGTGCATCGACTTGGCAGGTCGGAGAACTGGCTGACAGATGTATCGTTGGTCGCCTCTAGTCGGATCTCGTAACGTGATGCCTTGATCTTCTGAAGAGTGCAAATAATTGCAAGCCACTGCTGTAACTGCTCGAGCCAGCTTGCACGAGCGTATTCGACAGGAGGGCTGAGGTAGATGACCTGGTTTCGCATCGTAATTTCAAGCGTCAGCCGAGCCAAGGTTGGCTTCACCTCAGGCGATTCCGTCGATACCGGTTCGTTCGAAGGCAGTCGTCGCTCACCATCTTCATCACCAGTATTGTTGAAGACTTCGATCCACAATGCGATAGCACGGCTCAGACGAACAAGCAAGATGGACTCTATCCGCGCGTTCATATCCGAAACCCACGAAGTAAGGTTTGCATAATTCTCGAGATTCAGCTGATCGATAGACTTTTGAATAGTCTCGAGATTCTGTTGGAAAGCATCCTTGGTGTACGGGCAGGTCTCCAGATCCTTTAGTGCCTTTTCGACAGCAGCGTTGATGTTAACAAGCGTGACCACCTTGAGCTGAAGTAGCGACGTCGCAGCGGCAAAGTCTCGGACGAATTGGACATGCTTGCTCTCACTACGAACACTGCCACCACCGACCGGGAAACCAGACTGTCGCACATGCAGATCGTAGGCGTGTACGAAAGATTCCCATTTCAAAGGAACACCCTTGTTGACGAGCGCTTGGACGTCATTAACGTAGTTGTTGAGCAATAGAGCAACTCCACCCATTTCCGAGATAGAGCGCACTGTCTGAGTATATGTACGGACGCTCTCCATGAGACTGACTGCATAGGGGTAGACGCGTTTAGCCTCCTTGGAGATGTTATTAATACCGTGTGGGACTTGGTAGCCGCGCCACGTCAGGTTCCGGACTTCCTTGAAGAGTGCAATGACTTGCGCATCAAAATTGACGTTGAGCTCCAGGATGTTGCCTGCAGCGCGGTTCCTGCTAACGAGGAAGAGACGTCCAGAAATGGACAGCTTCCTCCTCGCCACCTCCTGCAGCCACGACTCAAAGATGGGCCTGGTATCAAGCTTCTTCTTGAACATGCTGCTCTCAGCCTGGAGTTTCTGGCCTTCAGCGTGAAGTGCCCAGTCCTTACCGAGGATATCTTCGACCTTGCCCATGTAGCTCTCGAGCTGAGTTTCGATCTGGCGAGCCCAAATGACAGCACCGGATACTGGAGGGAAATCGCGAAGCTGTGCCATAGCATGGGCTTCCGAATTACCATACTGGCGCTTGAAACGCTCATGGAGAGCCAATATGTCCTGCTTGACATTCTCAATGAGCTGCGTCTGGTACTCGGAGATGGCACCCCGAATCTTTGGTCGCACAAACAGGGGGTTGAACTTTGAGAAGACGCGAAACATCTCACTTGCCGTCTTGGCAGTACCAAGACGGTCTCTCAGCCTGGCGATGATGGAGTTTTCAACACGCGAGGTACGTTCGTTGTACTTTTGCTCTGCTTGCTCGAAAAGTCGTGTGCCTTCGAGTGACACATCAAGGACATCCACATCTTTCAGAACGTCATAGGCCTCCTTGACCTCCTTGACGGCGTCGACGTCACCAATCTCCTCAATGATGACTGTCTCTTTGGCAGACGAGTTGTCAGACATGGAGGATCCTGAGCCGAGAACGTTGACAATAGTCCGCTGGAGCTGCTCGTGGTTCTTACGGAATGTGGTAATGTAACGAATGCGCTCCTCCGTCTCCTTGTGCCTAGCTGCAATCTTGATGGGGATGAACTTTTCGTTCCTACGTCTAGTCACTTCACGGGCCACATTGGTGAATTCCTTGACATTCTCCTCCCAGGTCCGCCAAATGCTCTCTGCAACAGCCATGATGGCTTGGAATTCGGGGTAGTCCATGTGCATCAGGGTCTTTCCATGTAGCAAGCTGTGCAGCTGCTTGTCGAGATCACCAGAAATTGCTTCGACAAGGGGAAGGGCGCGACGGACGGGGTAAGGGCAAATGCGGAGCTTCTTGTTCATGTGGCTGAAAATGGATTGGACTGCTTCTTGCACTGCCTGTAGCGATGTTGATGACAATAGCTGGTCAAGCGGGAACTCGCGCATGAGCTGGTTGTACTTTTGCACGAGATCCGTACTCTCCTTCAGTCCGGTGTCCGCACTGAAACTAACAGTCGCCTGGAAGCGCTTTGCGTTCTTCAGCACATCCAGCGTGAGTCTAACACCTGGGCTGCCAAGCTGTGTTTCAATGTCGTGTAGCCTCGACTCCATGGATATCCAGAAGTTTATCTCTTGAGCTGCAGTTCCGGTTGATACATCACGCGATGTCTTGGTAATTGTCTGTATCGACTTAATCCATCCGTTAACTGTCGCCTGCAGTCCATTGAGGAAGCTGCTGTCTTGCACAATCGCCGCCGGAATGAGTTCCGGTGAGGGCTTCACGCCACGCTGGGTAGCATCGTCCAGGGCACTCTGGATGAGAGGATGCAGAGGCAAGAGCAGCTCGGGAATCTCGACATTCTGCTCCAAGTTACCCAAACTGACTGCCAGCTCCGCAATCTTCTTCCTCGTGGCCGAGATACCCGTTCGGGCATCGTTGTCACCCTTGCTGTATTTGCCAGCCAAGTCACGCTGGCTCTTCGTATACGTGTCAAAGTACGGCTCGACGGCAGACTGGATAAGGGAGCGGAGAAACTCATACGGAGTGCCATCGGGCGAAGAAGCGTTATTAGAAAGTATAAAGCCGGGCAGCGTCTGAATCAGGACCTGCTGGCTAAGGGGTATCGCGGGGTCTATGGGTATCGGTCGCTTGGAAATCACAACAAAAGCTGCACAAGTAGGAGAAGCCGTTATCTCACTCGAAAGTGTGTAGCTGAAGCGCTGCTGCGTCGTCACACCTGCCACTTCTGTCAGTCCAACGTTGGTGGCTCCTTCCTGCGAATGCATTGTGTGCCTACCATTTGCACCATCTGTTCCGTCCATGCGCGGCTCATCCACGCGGTCCTTTACCACATACAGCACAGAATGCCCCTCGGAGGCAAAGCGGGCGCATCGCTGCAGCGTGTCCTGGAGCTTAGCCTGTGACAGCAAACTGCCTGGAGCATAAAGATCCTGCTGCGAGGCGCCTAAGCTGACGTCGAGCACCTTTCCCAGGTGGTCGACGATGATCTGGGGGTCTATCGAGGGGGGCGAGGGACTGGGTGTGCGTATGCTTCCATTGGGGGCCCCTGGGTTCAGTGGTCCCTCCATATCGAGTGATTATCGCGTGTGTTGGTTCGGAGACATGTGGTTCGCGCTGGGCGAGAGCGAGAGAGGGAGTGACGCAAGTCTGATAAAACTAGAATTACTAGAGGCAGCGAAAATGCGGGTGCGCCGGGCGGTCGTGGGATGTGCTGGCTCTTGATAATTCTATAGTAGGCGTACGCGACGGCAATGTACGCGCACGGACGCAACACGCTTGACCGCTAGTAGAACTGCCGCAGGGGAAGCGGAGTGATCGACGTCTGATTCGTTCCCTGATGCTGTCGGAACGTTTGCAGCGATTACACAAAGCGTGCTAAGGGTGTTGCAGTTTCAGCGTATGCCGTTTGGCACAAGGTGTTGTGCTGCACTATTTACGCTTGGCTGCTAGTGGCAGGTACGATACGCCTCCCACGAGGGAAGCGACGATGATCTCCTCAACAGACAAGTGACAGCTCACCATAGGAAAGTGGCGGGCTAACCACGGCTCCACTTTTCTTGGGCAGCTCCTGAAATCTCCCCCGCCCGCTCACGATAGGGCAAGTGTGTGTGTGCCACAACACAACTTGACGAAATTATGCTAAGACACTGGAAGATGAAATATAAAATACGTCACGTAGTAAGACAAATGATCCAGGATATGCGAAAGTATACGCACGCACGAACCTGCCAACAACGCAGGAGCATATGAGACTAAGAGTCGGACTCATCGTTGGGTCGCATATGTACCATGATCCAAAATGATCAGGTGTGAGACCACAAGAAAAGAACAGATAAACTCAAATTCACAGACACTATCTATTCCTATCTACCAACTCAACATCCCTCCTATACCCCTGGCCATCATCATCATCGTCATCACTCTCTTCTCTCCCACCATCTCTATCTCGCTCACCACTTCTCCCCCTCGCATCCTCCTCCCCCAATCTCACCTCCCCAATTTCCCTCAACCCCAGCTTTCTTCTCCCCCAATTCACAATATCCGTCCCCCATCCCGCCAACCTCTCCATTCTAGCATCATCCTCTGTGCCACCCGCTACCACACCTCCATGGCCCCCTCCAGCTTCAACCTTGAACTGGTACTTTAGACAATCCTTGATCGTCACCAGACCCGTCAGGCGGCCACGGTATTCAATCAAGATGACTCTCGGTCCCATTTTCTTGAAAATTTCCATTACTGTTTCGAGAGGGAGGCGGGGGTGTACTGAAAGGGGTGTAGGGTCGATGTAGCGGGTGAAGTCGAGGCTTGTTTGTGTGGACGTGGTAGGTATAGAGTCGAAAGTAGTGTTTGGTGATTGATGTGGTAGGGTTGGTGATGAAAAGGAAGCGGCGAAGGAGCATTTTGCGTGGGCGGGCGCTTGTTGTTCCATCTTTGCTCTGTCGATAGCATAGCGGAGTTCTGTGCGGCCGATGTAGCCGACTAGAATCTTTGAATGCATATCTTCTACAATGGGGTAGCCTTGGTATTGATTCTCCGTCATTAGACGTTCCATCTGTCGGAGTTCCATGCCGTTGGCTGGGAGGCAGACCGGGCGGGTTTCCATGACTTGGGATACGGGGACGCCGAATGTGTGTTCTTCTTTGCTGTCGAGGAATGGGTAGCCGTTTAGATAGATCATACGGTCTGCGATGCCGCCGTGGCCGAAGCGCTCACTGACGGCTTTTGTGACGCCCACGACGATCATGGTGGGGAGGATGTAGGTTAGGGCACCGGTGATTTCGAACATGATGACTACCACCGACACGGTGATGTGCATGATGCCACTCAGGGAGGCGGCAGCTCCGAGGAAGGCATAGGTTCCTGGTGTGATGCAAGCGACGTCTGGCTCGCATGCCGCGAAGAAAGCTGACGTTGGAAAGGCCTCGTGGAGTGCTTGTACGCAAATACCTACCATGCGGCCAAATGCCGCGCCAATAGCCATACTGGGCACGAAGATACCAGCCGGTACCTTGCAGCCAAACGATATGACGACGAGCAGCGTCCGAATGACAGTTGCAATGGCAAGCGTGCCAATATTATGCCACTTGTGATTCTGATCACAAAGCCTATCATAGCCCTTGCCAGCCTTGCATTCTTGAAACAGAATCTCCATGCTCTCAGTCATGTCAATCCGCAGAAACATGTTCGGATAGCAGATAACGCCCGTGACGACGGCGAGCGTAACAGCTTCGGTGATGGGATACGCAGCCATGTATTTTTTTCGGAAGACTTGCATCTTGAGATTCCACTTTATGACAAAAGCGCCGTAAAGACCACCAAACACGCCGATCAGGATGTAAAAGACGGTTTCGAAAAAGTGCCACGAGCGGTCGTATTTGACATTGAACATGACGAGCTGGCCGGTACGAAAGGGGTTCATGGCCTATATTCGATTAGCTCATCTATCAAGTCGGCCAAACAGCTCATGGACTTACAGCAAGAACAGCCGTAGCCACCAAAGCGCAAAAGTAACTCCTCCAAAGCGTCTTGAGCGGAAACTGATTGCTCATTTCTTCCAAGCTAAACAGCACGCCCCCGATCGGACTACCAAACGCAACACCAACCCCCGCCGCCGCACTCGCACTCAGAATCTCCCTCGTCTTGGCCGCATTCCGACGATACTTGTCGAAGAACCTACTAATCACATTACCGGTACAAACCGCATAATGCACACTCGGCCCCTCCTTTCCCACCGAAAGCCCCGACCCAATCGCCAAGGGCAGTCCAATCGACTTGATAAACAGTGTTGTAAACCCCAAAAAGCCCTTCATAACAAACCCAGCAATAATACACTTCATCTCCGAAATCCCACTGCCCGCCGCATACGGCGCAAAGCTCTTGACCAGCCTCGCGGCCGTAAAGGAGAACAGCGCAGCGAAAAGGATATACATCAAGTAATTCGCGGGCCAAAAGCCCGTCCAACGTTTCCACTCTGCACACCCGCCCTCGGCACCCCAGCAGCAGAAACTCTCGTTAAGGTAAAACGCCGTGCTGCAATGACCCAGCTTGATGTCGCTGAGCCATTCGGTCACGATATTCAGAAACGCAGCATTGAGTCCGATCGCCGCACCAACAAGCGTAACTACTATCCACGCTTGTCCCGCGTCGTAGGCTTCTGCTATCTTCCTGCGCCATTTGCCCCGCCCGCGGCCAAGGAATACGCGCGCGCTGCTACCGTCTCGACGCACGCCAATGCTGTCTCGCGCGCGCCGTCGCGCTTTTCGTCGGAGCTGTTCGCGTGCTGCGTCTTGTACCCAGTCGATGGTGGAGAAGTCTTCATAACGCTTGATTTCAGCGATTTCTTCGACAATGGCGGCGGCCGTGTGGGTCGCGTTGGCGGCTTCGGGGTCGGAATTGTCGGCGTCGAGGGAGAGGATGGTTTGGCCGGTTGTGCGGTGGCGGAGGGAGGGGGCGTAGGAGGCGGAGCGTGAGGTTCGTCGGCCTGTACGGGAGGATTGGCTACGTGTGGATTGTGGTCGGGCTGGACTGGACGGACTGGGTTGGTCGGTTCTGACAGTCCTCGCGCTGGATTGATCGGTTCTAGCTATCCGCGCGCTGAGTTGATCAGGTCTGGCAGACCTAGTAGTCCGCATATTGGCCTGAATAGATGAACTGAGTAATTCAGGTTCAGCCCTAGCTGTCCTCATACTGGATTGCTCAGCTCTACCAGTCCCAGTCCCAGTCCCCGTCCCCCTCCCCTTTCCCTTCCCCATCATCTTTCCCTGCGATTGCGATCCAGACCCAGATCCAGACTCCTCAGGCGACGTATTCATCGCATCCTCAAGATGTGCCCGATACCTGCAATTGTTCAATTCTTCTTTTTCACTATTCCCTTCTGCTGTTTCTGTCTTTCAGGGCGTCGTGTCGTGTCGTATCGTGGTTCGTGAAGCTTACATGGCGTGTAGTGTTATGCAAGGGTCCTGTCCTCTCGAGGGTCCAGGTTCCCCAACACGAGATGACAGCTAGCTGGGGCTCGGGGATCCGGAGATGCACAGCCACAAGTTGTGAGCAGGGATGGAGGGTAAGCCACAGGCTTGTGGCGTAAGGATTATTCGCTGTACACCATGAAATGACAAGATAGTGATAGGTAGAGGGTGAAAAATACTTCTATAGATATTTCACATGAAATCGTATAGTGACTGAATTCAAATAGAATTGACTACTAAGGTTACATGTGAGATAATGTAACGTTATTACAGCATGTTTTCAAACGTGGTTTTCTGTCTCAATACAAGACGCCATAACCCTCCAAAAATCTATATCACTACACCACGCCATTGTCTCCTCTCTAAAAGCTGAAAATCCCACATGTGAACCCTCACATTAACCCGACAGCACTGCATTCCATCTCAAAAGCTCTTTATTTTTCATTTGCTGTGCTTTGCCAAACCGCGATTGGTAGTGCGCAACACAAAGGGTATCGTATCTCATCAGAAGAAGGCATCATGATGCTCGTCTATCATGTAGTCTCTCTGTGCCATATATGCCAACTCCGCAGTTCCCAAAATTTTCGAATCAAAATGCCCACGTCCCATATCTCGGATCAAGTGCTCTATTGCAGATCACATCACGCATGCATGCATATCCTCGCTTTCCACCCTGCCATGCAATCACAAAGGCCCATACCCCAAACATACTTACTCCATCTCAATGGTACCAGGAGGCTTACTCGTAACTGCACAAACTTCGTTAGCAAAAACCCCCCATCACAACCACTCCAGGAACTTACTATCATAAACCACCCGGCAAACACCATTAACCTCATTAACAATCCTCCGACTAACCCTCTTCAAGAACTCGCCATCAAACGGATACCAATCTGCCGTCATGAAATCGCTCGTCTCCACTGCCCTGAGTGCAATAACTTGATCATGCACGCGCTTGTCGCCCATAACGCCCACCGCCTTAACCGGTAACAGCGCCGCAAAAGCTTGTGAGATGTTCTTGTAAAGTCCCGCAGCGCGAATCTCCTCAATGAAGATGTGATCGGCTTCGCGTGCGATGCGCACTTGTTCGCGGGTGACTTCGCCGAGGATGCGGATTGCGATGCCTGGGCCGGGGAAGGGGTGACGCCAGACGAGGTCCTCGGGGATACCGAGTTCTTTGCCTAGTTGGCGGACTTCGTCTTTGAAGAGTTCGCGGAGAGGCTCGATGACTTTGAGTTTCATATCTTTGGGGAGGCCGCCGACGTTGTGGTGGGTTTTGATGGTTTGGGAGGGGCCCTTGAAGGAGAGAGATTCGATCACGTCTGGGTAGAGGGTTCCCTGGAGGAGCCATTCGATTTCGCCTGCATTGGCGGATTCGTGTGCTTCGGCCTTGATCTTTTCGGCTTGTTGTTGGAAGACTTCAATGAAGGTGTTGCCGATGATTTTGCGCTTCTTCTCTGGGTCGTCGGTTACACCCTTGAGGCGGTCGAGGAAGAGGTCGGATGCATCGATTACGGTGAGGTTGATGCCTAGGCCCTCATCAAGCGTCTTCTTGACTTGGACTGCCTCGTTGAGTCGCAACACACCGTTGTCGACCATGACGGCGTGGAAGCGATCACCAATGGCCTCCTTCATCAGTTTCGCAGCAACGGTTGAGTCAACACCACCGCTGACTGCTCCAATGACCTGGCCCTTGTCACCCACAAGCTTTCTGATGCGCGTAATCTCCTGGTCCACAAACTTGCTCATTGTCCAGTTTGAGTTTGCCTGGCAAATGTCAAGAGCAAAGTTCTTCAACACGATCGTTCCCTTCTTCGTATGCGTCACCTCTGGGTGGAACTGGATACCGTAGTACTTGTTGGACTTGTGCGCGATACCCGCATATGGTGAGTTGCCAGTTGTCGCAATGGTCATAAAGTCCTGGGGCATGGCGCTGAGCTTATCACCATGGCTCATCCAGACCTCCGCATCGTTTCCTAGGTCCTTGAACAGCTCGTCCATGTGTCCGCCGTGGCTCTCAACCTTCAAAGTTGCGTGGCCGTATTCCCTCTTCTCACCTGCAGTTACACCCGCGTTCTTGCCAAAGTGCCATGCCATCTCTTGTAGTCCATAGCATATTCCCAGAATTGGTACGCCTAGGTCGAATACGGCGTGATCGACGTGCGGTGCGCCTTCCTCATAGACCGAGTACGGACCACCGGAGAGAATGACTCCCTTGGGTGTAAATGGCAGATCGGCAATCTTGGTAGTGCATGGCAGCATCTCTGAGTAGACATTGAGTTCGCGGAGTCGGCGCGTGATGAGATGCGTGTACTGGGAGCCAAAGTCGAGGACGAGAATGGTATCAAACGTCTTGTGGGGAGGAATTGGGTCGGAGCCGTCGGTCGCCATCTTGAAGATGATGTCTACTATCCAGACGAGAGGATGATGTGTGAAAGTCTACGGGATTGAGTGAGAGAGAATGTAGGTGTACGATCGAAGTAAAGAAGAAGAAGAAAGGGAAAGAAAAAGGGTATCTGGGGAAAAAGGTGACAGTGTGGGAGACGATGAGGGGTTTCCATGACTGTCGCAAATTTCAGCGGGGCCCAAAAATTATCTATCGATAGCGCGACTGCGCGCGCGCATCTTCTCCAAACACCACTAAGCCGCTGCAGCCAACCTTCACCTCCCAAAACATCCTCGCATAAATACATCGCAATGGCGAAACGAAAACAAGAACGAGACCCGGAAGAGCTACCGGATGCATCAGACAAGCGCAAACAGAAAGATGACGACGATTCCGGCAGCGACGAGGTATGCGCCTTCCCCATCATCTCTGAATATGCGCTTCATGGCTAATAACCCTCTCCTTCTTCAGGACATGGACATGGTGAACGTCGACTTTGAATGGTTTGACCCACAACCCGCCGTCGACTTCCACGGCCTCAAGAACCTCCTGCGTCAACTCCTAGACGTAGACTCGCAACTCTTCAACCTATCTGAACTCGCAGACATAATCCTGTCGCAACCGCTCCTCGGCAGCACTGTAAAGGTCGACGGCAATGAGACGGATCCCTATGCTTTTCTTACTGTTTTGAATTTGGAGACATACAAGGTGCATCTTTACCCCAACCTCTCTTGTTTTATTTATCTGTATGAGTGCAGGATGCTAACTATGTGCATGTGTATAGGACAAAAAAGTAATCCAAGACCTAACCACCTACCTGACCAAAAAATCACAACCCACAATCCCCAGCCTCGCCCCCCTCCTCGCATCCACATCCACCGCGCAAATTGGCCTCATCTTGACCGAGCGCTTCATAAACATGCCGCACGAAATCGTGCCTCCAATGTACACGATGCTCTTGGAAGAAATCCAATGGGCGGTTGAGGAAAAGGAGCCTTACACCTTCACCCACTACCTCGTCCTTTCAAAGTGCTATTCTGAAATCGCGTCGCAGCTACCCAGTCACGATACAGCGCCGAGCAAGAAACGGAGTAAGAAGGCTGATGGAGGGGAGGAGACGTTTTACTTCCACCCAGAGGATGAGGTGTTGCATAAGCATGCGGTGGGTTATACGAGCTTCGAGTATGATACGCCCGTGGATGAGGGGGCGAGTGATAGTAAGAGGGCGTTTCAGGAGTTGGGGGTCCGGCCAAAGGGACATATGGTATTGATTGAGGCAGGGAATTTTGAGGGTGCGGTAGAGGCTGTGAAGGGGTTCTTGAGCGGGCAATGAGAAAGAAAGAAAAAGGAAGAAATAGATGTGAACATGAACGAGAAAAGGATCGCAAAACATGATTCTAACTGGTGTTACATTGCCGGCACAAGCCGAATCTATAAACCAAACCGTTGAGGAAATATTGTTGATGCACCGCTCCTATAGACACAAAGCCTCAAGGCCCCTCCCTACCTCTCTCTCATCACCTCATCCTTTCACCCAATTGCTGTATTAACGACCAACCGAGTGTGCTTTAACCGATGACAACCTTGCCCTCCTCGGGGAAGTCGTAGGCGGGGATTTCCAGGTTGAGCGGGGCAGGTCCCTTTCTTATGCGGCCAGAGATGTCGTAGTGGGAACCGTGGCAGGGGCAGAACCAGCCTCCAAAGTCACCAGCCTCACCAATGGGGACACATCCAAGATGGGTGCAGACACCTATTGACTTTAGTTTCAGTTCAATTCCAATGCGTTCGGTGTGGTGAATGACGTACCCAACATGATCAACCACTCGGGCTTCTGGACACGGTCCGAGTCGGGCTGGGGGTCACGGAGGCTCTCCCACTTGGTGTTGTCAGCCTCCTTGATTTCGTCCTCGGTGCGGTGTCGGATGAAGACAGGCTTGCCTCGCCACTTGATAATCACCTGCGCATATATCAGCTTCCTCTATCCGGACACAAAGCGTCGCATTCGGCCACATACATTCTTGCCCTCGGGAATGGCAGCGAGGTCGATTTCTACCTTGGCTTGAGCCAAAACGTCGGCGGAGGCGGACATGTTGACGAGGAAGTCTGTTGTGCGGGTAACGAGTTAGCCTTCCATTGTTCCATCAACCACAACGCCATATCATCCCAAACATAGCCAATTGCTCCCCTCCAGCCCCTAAATGTCTCTTTCTTCATATCCCGATGGTTTTTCTTCCTCCGCCGAGTTGCAGCGACGCTGGGGACCTCTTACCCTGTACAGTCGCCTTCGCGCCAAGCGCACTCAGCGCACCCATAGTTCCAACCATGAAGTACTGGAAAACCTTGGGACCAGTCTCGCCTCCCTTATTCCTGTAGGCGGCGAACGAGGGGATCTTGGTCGTCTCCGGGCTGCCCTTGAAGGGGCTGTCGAATGAGGATGCCGAGGCGTTGCGGGTCTGCATGGCGGTGCACCCGGCTGCCCGAGCGACGGGCAATTGGTGAGCGGTCCATGAGCGTGCGACGGCACGGGCGGTGTTTGTGAGGGCGGGCATCGTGGACGCGGCGTGGGCGGGCGTTGTCGTGGTTCGTTGATGGAGGAGCTTGGGGTTGTGCAATGTCGAAGTTTTGGCGGCTTTGGCTACGTTATGTCAGGTGCGATGTGATTGGTTGGGCGGCTCCGTAAGTATCAGACGAACACCATGGGCGTTATCGGATATCCATGCATTTCTACCAATGACAGACCATGTAAAGTATTAAATGTCGGTTTGTGATTTAATCGTAACCAAGAGAAAATCGCGGAGATTTTAGGATTTGACATAAAATGTTTTTTTTCCGGTCGTAGGAGCTGACCTCTTCTCTCACTACTATAGCAAGCGACATCCTCAGCCGGGTAAGAGAGCGATTGCCTTAAGTTTGTTGCAAATAAACGTCTTGGCGGTTGCCTACCTATCTCGTGCCTTCACGTGCTCCCACGAAGACTACGGCCCAACCCGCCACCATGGCTAACTCCAAAAACTCAACCATCACATCTTACTTCGCCCCCAAAGACGCGCCCTCAAGAAGTCCCAAGACCAACAAGCCCATCAACGAGGACAGTACCGGCAACGACTCCAAAGCTGACCAAGACGACTGTCCTAAAGACAAACATCCACAACTAAAAAGACCCCTCTCCACAACCACCAGCCCCCCATCCTCGAAACGCCAGGATATAAACTCTACTAAAACCACCAAAGCCAAAAACGCACTCCCAACCCCCCTCTCCCACCTTACCCTACCCCCACCCCATCTCCCCCCAACACCCACCTCCCCAACACTAAGCTTAACCTACCACACCGGCCCTATCTTCACAGCACCCCCCGACACCCTGCTCCTGCACGCCTGTAACACACACGGCGTCTGGGGCTCCGGCATCGCCCTCGCCTTCAAGCAGCGCTACCCGCTCGCCTACAAAATCTACAATACGTTCTGCATCAGCACGCACCACCCCACATCCAACCCGGTGCCCACTGGTACCGCACTGCTGATACCGCCAGTTGATAGAGACCATGGACATTGGGTTGGGTGTTTGTTTACGAGTCAAGGGTATGGGAAGAAGAGGGATGGGGCGGATGTTATCACCGGGAATACGGCGCCGAGTGTTGAGATGGCGTTGGAGTTGGTTAGGAGGGTGAATGAGCGGGTGGAGAAGGAGGGAGGGGAGGGGATCAAGGAGGTGAGGATGTGTAGGGTTAATAGTGGGAAGTTTGGGGTTGAGTGGGGGAGGAGTGCGAGGGTGATTGAGGGGATTAAGGTTAGGGAGGGATGGGTGGGGAGCGTGCAGGTCTGGGACCCGGAGACTAAGTAAATGGGGTGGATACTTGGGCCTGATGGTTGGGCGTTTGATCTATGGGATTGGGGTTGGGATATGGCGTTTAGGTTTGGCCTACCTGGATACAGCACAGGAAATTATTAGGAATGGTGGAAAAGCCATGCAAAGATATGTATACAAAAGTCTTCTTTGAGCACAATACACGCATATGCCGAATATCTGTATCTCATCTGGACCCCCAGTCCATGTGAGAGTAACAACCGGGCAAGCAAGTCAAAACCTGCCTATCTGCTACACGACCAACGCCTATCCATGCATCCCATCTATCCATCCAGCTAGGCCAATTGCAACAATAAAGCATCACCATCCACCCATTTATCAATCACCCTATCATGGGCTTATCCATCTCCTCACTTTGAACCATTAATCGCCGTGAATCCCGTAGACCGCCTCGTCTGCCTCGGACTCGCACTCTTTGTAGGGTGGCGTGGCGGGCCCCTCATCTCCATTTCGATCTGCATAGCCGCTGCGTCCTCCTCTGGCTCCGAGTCTTCGACTTGCTTGGCCGATGGGGCTGGCTGGTCCACGTCCATTTCATCTGAGGGCTCGGGTGCTGGTGTCGATGCTGCTTTCTCTGTGGAGTTTTGGTCTTGGTGTGGGGGAGATGCTGATGCGGATGCAGAAACAGTGACGACTGTATCTTCATCACCCCCCTTCTCCCCAGAACCATCACCATCCTCCTCCATCTCCGTCGCTTCCTCCCCAGCGCCAGTCCCATCCAACGTCGTCTGCGTCTTCCCCTTGCCCGCCTTCTTACCGTCCTCGGCCTTCTCCTTCTCCTTCTCCTCCAACCGCTTCTTCACCGTCCCCCACGTCGCTGTCTTGGGCGCCACATCCACCAAAAACTCGAGGTTGTCTGTCTTGGCAATCGCGCTGCTGACATCGCGGTACTGGATGTTACGCCGTGGTTTGCGTTCCGCTTTGACTACGTTATGTGTGGTTGTCGCGAGATGCTGGATGAACATTTCTGTGGCTAGGGCGATGGCGAAGGCGGCATTTTTTGAGGTCGTGATGCGTTCAGGGTCGGCTTGGATGATCTTTTGGACGCGCGCGACTGCGTGGAGTGCGATTAGCTAGGATGTTGGTTGACAGGGAGAGGAATGTGGTGTGAGTACGTGAGATTGAGTCGACCATTGCGATGTGGGTGTCATATGGTTCTTCTTCGCAGTACGCTCGTTCCTAAGAAGCTGGAACGAAGACGGATATTGCGACAGAAGAATGTGCGTGTATCGTGAAAGCGAAAGGATGTAGACAACGTATGCGAGTGAAGAATGTGAGAGAAAGTCTTTCTACTTACGTGGAAGCGACACATGGCCGGTGATTTCCTTATTTGGCGCGATTGGAGTGTTGTTGTATGGCATGGTGAGAGGTGGAAGGGAAAGAGCGATGTGCGCACGGGATTCAACGTGCTTATTCGCCTAGAATTGTGTGTGCTTCGGGTGTTGTATCCAAGGAATAAGTGGGCAAGGGTCACTGGTAAAGTGGTATGCTTGACGCGGTTTTGGTCGCAAGTTGGCGTTATAGTCGCGTGGTGAATAACTTGTACGGCATACGCGGGCTAGCTCCTACCGGCACCTAACTACCCTGGTCCATCGACGGCGATCATTGCGGGCACCTTGAGCCGACGCCATTGGCAACCCTGACACGTCCGTACTCACCGTCTTTCCTTTCATCTTCTTTTGCGGTCTTTGGTCGCTCTTGAAGTTCTGACGACGTGTCTACTGAGCATCTTTCGTGGTGTTGCCAGTATTGTATTATTTCGACAAAATCAACATCGCCCATCAGGGTACGCGCAACTGCATATCCTCCATGAAGCTCTTCTGCACGAGTCTGCTTGCAGCAACGGCAGCAGCGACTCTCTCGCAAGTGCCTTTTCAAGATACGCCAGAAGTGGAAGGCTTTCAAACATACCACAGTCAATATTCGGAACATCATTCCATCCGCATAAAGCGACAACAAAGCGATACATTATGTGATGCTCGTTCCAAGCAGTATACTGGCTGGCTAGATGTCGGACAGAAGCACATATTCTTCTGGTACTTTGAGTCACAAGACAAGCCGGCTGAAGACCCCCTTCTGCTGTGGTTGACAGGAGGACCCGGTGGCTCTGGAATGTTGGGTATGCTGGGTGAGCTAGGTCCGTGTATGATCAACGAATTTGGCAACGGGACCGTGTACAACGAATACGGGTGGAGCAAAAATGCCAACATTATTTTTGTTGATCAGCCAGCAGGCGTTGGCTTTAGCTATGTAGATGAGGGCATCCCGCTCACTTCCACAAGCTTCTCGGCTGCCGAAGATATGCATCATTTCTTGCAGCTGTTTACGAGCGATGTCTTCCCGGATCTCTACGAGAGAGACTTTCATATCACAGGAGAAAGCTATGCTGTAAGAGTGCACATCTCCATCATAAAATGCTAGAGCTGACCGTCATCAGGGACACTATGTTCCCACCTTGGGCGCTGAAATTGTCTCGAAGAACCTCATGTATCCAAAACGACCCAAGGTCAACCTCAAGTCAACTTTTACCGGAAACGCCTTTGTTTCACCCAAGGACACTACCTTCGGCTACTGGGAGACGCTCTGCACAACGAACCCCGGTGTCGAAAGTCCAGTCTTCAACCAGACACGCTGTGACATCATGGCTACCAACCTACCACGCTGCATGGAGCTTTCTAGCGTTTGTTACAATCATCCCGATCCAGCTATATGCATCGCAGCCGAAGAAGTATGTGAGGAAGGCGTGATTTTGTACTACGACGGCGAGTCTGGAGAAGGGGGCCGTAATCGTTTCGACATCACCCATGAGTGCGAAACGAGAGATGATCTATGCTACCCCGAGATTAAAAGGATACAAGAATATCTGAACCTACCTTCTGTTTGGGAGGCTCTCAGTGTTCCCAAAGCAGTAGGCAACTACTCGGTATTGTCTTATGACATTGCCTGGGCCTTCGCGCTAACCGGAGATGGTATGCTCAGCACGCAGCCGCAGGTCCTGTATCTGCTTGACCACGGCATTGACGTACTCTTCTATCAGGGTAACCTTGATCTCGCTTGCAACACAGCGGGTAACCTCCAATGGGCAAGTACAATGCCATGGAAGGGTCAGCCAGCATTTGTCGCGCAGCCGAAGAGGATGTGGAAGAACGGGGGCGACGAAGTGGGCTGGTTCAAGGAAGTCAAGACCAAGACCGCGAGCGGACGGGAGACGACGTTTGCTTTCGCGACAGTGGATGGGGCGGGCCACATGGTACCTCTCGATAAACCCAAGGAGGCGCTGGTACTGGTTGATAGATGGTTGAACAAGCGGAGCTACGCGTGATTGTTGCCATTGCGATTTATGTAAAATATCCGGAAAGCATGCGCTCGAAAACACGACAACGCATTGCTTTGACCAATTCCAGGCACCGGCATCAGCATCATGCAAGTCATCAGGCGCTTCTCGTTAGGTGCCCGAAAATGTTGAAAATATGGTGTCGTTTTTCCCCACCGTGACATCACTGTTATGAGCTACGTCATCAGGGTGCTAGCCCATGCGCACACATCAGAACCTTCATATAAGGAGAAGAACCACGCGACATTGAACATCAACACAAACAATTGCCACTTCTCACATCAAACCTACTCTTCAAATCTCATACCCAACTTACATATCCCACCAATCCCACATACACAACATGTCTGGACAATCAAACGTCGGCAACAGCCAGGTCTACGAGGCCGGTGACCAGGTCACCCGCTCCAACGCCGAAATTGAGCAGGAGAAGAAGGAGAACCGCTTCCACGAAGGCAAGGAGAACTCACACAAGGCCCAAGACTCCAGTACGTTGCTCTTCCTAGTTTCTAGTTATCTGCGCGACCATGGCGTGGAATCAAAACACCCTACCCCACTACACCTTTATCAGGGAAATGTACTGACGATGAAAAACAGAGGACGAGCGAACAATCGCCAACAAGCTCGAACGCGAGGAGAAGCGTGAAAACGAGAAGGAGGAGAAGTCTCTCGAGGACCGCCAGCGCGAGAAGGATGCTACTCTGCCAGCACGTGCACACGGCAACGAGCCCTCCAAGGGAGCGAAGATTGATCAGGAGTTGAAGGAGGAGGATGAGGCCATGCTCAAGAAGAAGGGCGCAAACTAAAATCATCGTTCAAGGATGATTCGATACCCCGCAGCCACATACTTGCGTGTTTGGAGTTTTGAGGGCATAGTGTAGTTAATGATAGGATTGACGATTGAACGTCTCCACGAGAGCCAGCCTGGAACACGGCCAAGGCATGAATGAAAACTATTACCACTTTATATGTTTCCCTTCATAGAGGTGTTTGTGTGAAAGACATGAAGCGGCTTTCATGGGTTCTTTGTGATACAAAAGCTCCCCACTCTGGCGTGCTACCCCTCCACAGTTGTCATGACTCGCGCAGCCTCGGGAATTCCGCCGATAGCCAGCGTCATAACAGCCGCCGGCCTTCTCCAAACCTCAATTGCCGTCCCCCACGTCTTGTAAAGTCCAATTGTTGCATTACAAAGCATTGTGACGTTGATGCCTACCTTGCAGTTATCTCGACGAATTTTCTCTGCTGCTGCTGCATTTGCGAGCGCTCCGCTTAGATCCCGCATCATACCTGTGAATACCCAACTGTCAAACGTCTTCCGTCAACACACAGCAAACATGTCCACCAACATGGCTGAGCGCCTAAAGGGCAAGACGATTGTCATCACCGGCGCGTCTTCTGGTATCGGTAGATCCACAGCCGTCGAGTTTGCGCGCACACAACCCGATGACCTAAAGCTCATCCTGACTGCGCGGCGAGAGGACGCATTGAAAGAGGTAGCAAAGGAGATTTGGAGTTTCGCAAGCGGCGTCAAGGTATTGCCCGTAAAGCTAGACGTCAGCAAACCAGATGAAATAAACAACTTTGTGGGAAACCTACCACAAGAGTTCAAAGATATTGATATTCTGGTCAACAACGCGTATGTCCAATATCTCCATATCAATTCACGTACCTAACGACAAACAGTGGCCTCGTAAAAGGCGTTGCCCAAGCCCCCAACATTTCCCCCACTGATATTTCCAAAATGTTCGACACAAACGTCACCGGCTTGATCAACATGACCCAAGCCATCCTCCCCATCTTCAAGGCCCGCCCCACGCCCTCTGGCGATATAATAAACATCGGCTCCATCGCAGGCCGCGAGCCCTATCAAGGCGGCTCCATCTACTGCGCCAGCAAAGCCGCCGTCCGCTCCTTCACCGACGCCCTGCGCAAGGAGCTCATTGCCACGCGCATCCGCGTCATGGAAGTTGACCCAGGGCAGGTAGAAACGGAATTCAGCGTTGTAAGGTTTGACGGGGATGTGGAGAAGGCGAAGAAGGTCTACGAGGGCGTAGAACCGTTGACGCCGGAGGATGTGGCGGAGATTGTGGTTTTTGCGGCAGGAAGGAGGGAGAATGTTGTTCTGGCTGATAGTCTGGTATTTCCGAATCATCAGGTGAGTTGTTTCCGTTGGAGCGGGGAGGGAATGAGAAGGTTTGTGATACTGACTTTTTCGCGTAGGCGGCTGCGACGGTCATGCATCGGAAATCGTAGGCTTGAGGTGGGATGTGTACATCGACAGAGACAGGGACAAGAACGGTATCAATACTATCAACTCTTTAGGCACCCGATTATGTATACAGACTCTGTGCTCTCATTTCCTCTACATGGTTTTCCGCCTCTTCCCCCTCTATCCCCTCAAACATATCAAACACCACGCTCACTAAGACTAACAGCACACACACACCGCTGCTTTTCGGTCACCCACCTCTGTAATCCACTCATCCACGTGGCTAATCCCTGTATCATCCAATAAACCTTTACAAATGCGGAGAGGGATCCAACGGCAACTCCCGTTACCACTGCGATTTCAATACACCACGTGATTCGCCTCGACGACAAGCGAGCAAGTTTGCGAACCAGCAATTCCCACAGTGTAAATAATCAGTCCTTCTTCTTACCACGTACACGCTCTCTATACATTGCTCTCCACGACAAGAGCTTGCCGTTGAGAACTTGGAACTAGCACCACGAGTTCAATTACACCCAGATCGGAGTTATATAGAAGCAAAAGTATGTATAAATTCATGTTAGCGTAAGGTTTTTGACACTGACTTAGTAGAGTAGCACTGCATATACGATATTGCAAGGCTGAACGTTCCCGCGTCCCTGAAGCGAACGATGAGGTCCGCACCGAAGAACGAGACCGAGGCTGAGCGCGATGCTCAAGCCAGCAGTACGATGGACACTGCAGAGGTCAAAGAGGTCGAACACTCAGGTGTTAAGCTCTATTCCAATGCCGATGAGTATATCAACGAGGACGACGCCGATGATATCGATGAATATTATCTCGACAGCGAAAACGAGGAACAGCATGTTTAACATAGTAGCCACAGCGATGAAGACCAGCACCAAGGCCCTTCCGGGACTGATCCTTTCGACATCGCACATCTTGGGATGGCTCTTGATGAGCTGACCGAGTATATGACGCTGAGAACAATGACAAACACGGAGTCTACATTCTCGTTAGACCACCCAAACATCTGCATAACGCGAGGGTCCGGCAGCCGTCGCAAAGCCCGCTGCTTTTTTCGGACAGAGAGATTCGGCGTCCCTTTTGTTGACTCCGCGGATACAGGATCGGGCACCTTGTCAACCCAAAATGGCACTGGATTCGCATTTCCCTCTTCCTCTCCTCCCTCTCCTCCTTCTCCAGTGACCCAATGTCGCAACACCACTTCCACTGTCCGTCGTGACCTTTGCTACGACCCTCTTTATCCTGATCACAGCCCTTGTGCTACGGATGAGTTAACCTGGCTCTGACAGTCGGCAGAAGATGCGCTGCGAGTGCTGAGGGAGCGCTTCGAGGATCTGCAGATGGAGCGTGACGATGAAAATAACAGAAGGAAGTGGATCAACTCAAAGGTGATTTATAGGACGAATTCGGTGCATGGGGGTTCACCGTTGTGGGAGATGGAGTGCGCTGATTATGGAGATGAAGATGGCAATGAGGAATTGGTAAGTTCGATAGCACTGCCTACTGGTGTCACTGCTAATTTTGAGCCAAAGGAACAAGATACCGGCAATGAAGCTGCTGGATTAGTCCTTTCGTCGCCTCTGCACTTCAACATCGACAGACACCGAGTGCACGCGGTCAGGTCAGACGATACACTGGCCGGCAATTCCTCCGCTCGTCCCTCGTTATTTTCAGGACGCACATCCTATACATCCCAATCATCTTTCCAGAGCAATCGGCCAGACTCGCCACCGGACAACTGTTCTCTTGCACTCGAAGTCGAAAAGAACTGCGCAACGTCGAGCCACAGCAGCTCCAAAGCTAGTATAACGTCATTGCAACTAGTAGTGCGCTCTGATAGCAGCAAAGCTGCGATTAGCGAGGTGATCAGTGCTCGCGCTCGGCCTGGCCTGAGCAGGACCGTGCAACAGGGCGAGGCTGTGTCTGCGACAACCGAATACCAGGAAAGGTTCGTGGACAGATACCTGGGTATCGTGACAGATAGGCAGGCTGTGGTAGAGGCGGCACAAGACGACGAAGCAGTTGTATTACCGGATCTGGTGGATCTTGAGCGAGGCATACCTCTCCTAGAGCTAGGTAACTGCGTCTCGGCCGCTTCGCATATTCTTACAGCATATGACGTAGCCACCGGTGAGGCTTCTGGTCGGACAGCCAGTGTGAACAGCCTCATGAGACTGCCACGGACAGCACAAGAAGTGACACGTCGCTGCCTCAATGCTGTTAAGAAAGCGTTTAAGACAGCCTGGGGCTTTGTTTTCTGCAATGCTTGATTGTCGCATCTGAAATGGCTTTATGTCGTAATCATTTCCCTCTCTTAGTATATAGTTCAATCTAGCATTTTTCAATTCTCGGCAATCGTGTTTGATCATGTCAAAAGTTGTGCAATCTCGGTTCGAGTTCTATGGTTTGGTTGACGGACATTTGTCACTAGCACCGCTTCGTTAGTGTGTGCATGTCTTTGTTGCTTTTCTTTAGTAGTATATGTAATTGCTTCTTCTACGTTCCTCTCTATGAACGACATCTGTGCGATATCTAGGTTTCAAAAAGTCAATTATCATTTCCTTACATTCACTCATCTCAAGTCCTTACAATATTGATGTTTTTTCTGCTGCAATACCCTTTCTACCAAACATTGTGTGACATATGCATACAACGGTCCGATGACTAAGCTGTCAGGAGTTCTCCCTCGGTTTGCACTGACAGCAGTACCATGGTTGCGCTGTGTCGTGTCCTTGACGCAACAGCGGTTTTTCTGAAGTTCATTCACAATGTGGAACTGTCAACTCACTGGCATCTGCCATTCACTCACACTGTCGGCCAGCCCAAGCAAACATAGTCTCCGGACTCCTAGCCCCTCCTCTTCCGCTTCTTTCACTCATACACACACTCACCCTCACCCAGGCAACCAGGCAACTGCGCACATACCACCTGCGCCCGCGCAGAACCCCAATCACACGGCCCAAACAGGAAAGCTCGGTCACGCCAAGAGAAGAGCGAACCACGGGTGGGGTACGTCAAAGGTGCGATATTCCCTTCCAGGGTCCTTGATAAGTTCGACAGATCGCAATCTTCTTCCCACCTTAACCACAGTCTCCACACAACCTTTCTGCGAACTTGCAACCCTTTAACAAGTGCGCGCACACACCAATACCTTATCACAACTACTCATTCAACCACTGCGCACCATGGCTACCATTGGTATGACTAGCACTGCTAGCCGTAAGTTCAACTGGGCTGATGATGACGAAGACGACTTCGACCTCGACACCTGGAAGGCGTCTGCAGACACTTCTGCGCCCAAGGCCGAGGAAATGGGCCCGCTACACTTTTCCGACTCCTCGTCCGACCTCTCCTCTTCTGACTTCTCCTCTTCCGACGACGACGAAACTGACAACGAAGAAGAACAAGAGAAAGTTGAGATGCCCCAATCCACATTGTACTCCCGTTTCCCTATCCTCTTCTATGACCTTCCCACCCAACTCGCCCACGCACACTCCAAACTCGTGTGCAACGCAGTGGGCCCGTATATGGATGGCAAAGAAGACTGTGATCCACCTGCATATCCCGAACTCAACTACGACCACACGTGCAAGCGCCGCTACAGCTATGCACACGAATTCCAAGAGGAGCGGTTGTTGTGGCATCGCGATCTGGCAACTGTATACCGTGAGTCGCACCTTGTCATCGCCACTCACATTGACGATGCTGAAACCATTGATGAGTCTGTCTCCATGAAGATTAAGTCTCACAATGGAGAAGAACTGGATGAGTGGGAAACTATTCAGATCCAGATGTTCGAGGCGGAAGAGGAAAAGGAGGAGAAGGATGTGCAGATCAAGGTGCAGCGCATGATGGATGAGCAGACAAAGGATCCGGATAGCGTCTTTCGAGGTCGCTCCAAGGAAGACCTTGAAGAGTTCTACAGGGGCTGGAAAGCTCAACAGGCTAAGCTGACGAAGCAGGCTGTGGATGACGAAGCAGACGAGGATAACTCGGATGACTCCTCAGTCCAATCGTGGGAGAATAGCGATGAGGAAAACGACCTATCCGAAACAATCCTTGCTGTGGAAGAAGATAGCTACCACCATTCCTACACTACGACCCCAAGTAACTTGGACGAGGAAAAAGAGAACATCCTCTCCATCACCCCCCCAATGAGTCGCGTGGGAAGCATCACCACCTCCACCTATACCGATGACAACGAAGATGATGTGGAACTCAACTTCAATGAGGTCATCTTTGGCACCGAAGACGAACCTGTTCACGAAGATGAGCTAATTGCCGAGGATGCAGCATCCTGCCACTCTTCTGATTCGGCCAACTCTTGGACTACAGATGAGGGCTACTCTTCGCCTGGAAACCACGACCTCACCTCCGGAAACACTGCTTCGAAGGTAGAGTCATTCATGGCCATCTTCCAGCCCCGTTTCAGTGATTCCTCGGCCCGGCGCAAGACACAAGCGTGTAGCGGTTCTATGAACGCCATCCGTGTCTTTAAGGACACGGTACAGAACAGTGATGTAGTCGAGGAGGCTTTCAAGTCCGACTCCGAGTCCGAAGAGAACGAGGTCGAAGCCGCTACCTCACCGGCACGACAGCCTCTTGCTGCCAAAGATGCCATGGTTCCAAACACCACCTCTGAGTCGTCCTCTTCTCCACCTGCAGATGAAGGCAAAGCGAGAGAAGTACAAGACACCACATTCCACACCTTGAGAGGTGTCCCCGCTGTCGACTTTAGCTTGCCGGACATTGTCTTCACCACCACTGAAGGGCCACATGAAGCCCTATTCACTCTTCCATCATCATCCTCGCTGCCGACACACCACATCGGCACCCCAAGCAGCATTAAGAGCACCTCTTCACCGCCTACCGAAACCACCCCACTGCTGTCGTCCCCTCAGCCCTCTTCAATATCATCATCCTCATCATCTTCCAAGATACTACCCTACATCATGGGTGCACTCTCTACCGCCTCACTCTTCATCTCCAAAATCCCCTGGTTAAAGATTGCCCTCTCAGCTGCTGGCTTCCTTCTTGGTGTAGCACAGGGTGCGGCATCATTAGTGCGCCGGTAGAAAAAAGAGTGTATCGTGTTGGGTGCAGGGCTGTCTAGGACAACATATGCATCATCTCAAAACAGGTGCAAAGAGATACAAAATGTTGGGTATTAGCAAGGGAGCATTGGGATATGGCGTTCTAACCTCCCTCCCTACGCGGCGAACAACCCCGTGGGCCGAAAACAGCCAATGAGCTACTGCGTAAGGTCGGTATATCTGCTATTCTTGCGCTTTTATTGGTTGTTTTCGGCCCACGGGGTTGTTCGCTGCGTAGGGAGGGAGGTTATACCCCAGGTTCTGGATATTGATGGGATTTCACGAGCAATGATTTTTTTCCATGTTTTGTTTTTACTTGATTAGGTACAGGGAAAAAGCGGGAAGCATACCACACAAGCGATGGAGTTTGGGGGTTTCTTTTCAAGCGGTTGGGTCCATGGCAAAAGCTAGAAATATACCACATGAGCGTTGGAGTTTGGGTTTTTCCTTCTGTAATGATTATGATAATGGTAACGAGCATGGTAATGTTCAAGGATTAATGAAAAGCAAATGATTTACATTAAATCTGTGTTCCTATGTGTGTAGGCCTGTGGTGATGTGAATTTGTACTAATATTGGTAAGGATGGATACTTGGTCTTGTAGCCAAGGCTGGAGATATCACGTGTCTTGCTGTTAGAGTTATAATAGAATTATGATGAATACGGATATATGACGCAACTTCCGCATGCTGTGTAGTTGCTTTGGACCTGTTGACGTGGTATGCAGTGATGGCCTCGTTGAGGATGTGGATACACGACCTGTGTTGTCGGTGAGGGATGCGTGTTCGATGCTAACGATTACATAACAGGTTCATGATAACTAGAGGTACGAGTTCATAAGCCACCGTTTCTTGCATGGCGTGAGGTCGTGTTAGAGTCGTTCAGGTTGGATGCACAAGCGGGGTGGTAGCCGTTATGGGATGATGTAAGGCGCTTGGCTCTATGCCAGGTGCACTGCAGGTGCATCCGGACACACCGCGCCGGTTATTAATAGCGTGTACGTGACCGAACTACCGACATGCAGAATGCCCATGTATAAAATCGAAGATAAGTCATACTCGTATTGGGAAACGACAGGCGGACGAAATGATCGCACGAGACAAGGTGACCGTACTGCTAACCTAGATTGGGGAATGGAAGCGAATCATACCGTTTCTGGACATGATACCTGGTCCTGAGTACCTTACACGCACATCGCAAACCGATAAAGAACCAGAATAGAAAAATTCGATGGCATTCTAAGTACGTATATCCGGCAAATAGAGAACCACGTGGTCCTGATACCCGGGCCTCGGCTTTGCTAAACCGCGAACCATCCCAAGGCGGATGCTGCGGATCGCGAAACTCCCTCAAACAAGGACCGGCATCCAGACCTGTAAGACGGAATTTGCCGCCAAATTGAATGAACCCAACACGAGAACCCAAGCGGCCAAGAAGATGAAAGGTACAAGGACAAATTAAATTAAAGAAGAGTAAGCTTAGTCAGACACTAGGAGAAACCGAGTCGGTCCGTCGGCGGGTATATACAGCAATCGATGCGCGACGGAATTTCCCCCTCCCCGCTTCTTACATCCCATCCCGTGTTCCATTATCATCTACTCAGCTTGAGCGGGTTGGTGACCCTCTTTGTCATCATCATCGGCCTAACATCGGCAATGAAGAAACTGGAGATAAAGCAGACTCCACCAAAGGCAATGGAGATCCAGTATGGGTACCGGTAAGCCAGGGCCCACGACTTCTGTGTGGCGGCGAGAATCTCGGGGTAGGCCTCCCTGTTAATGACGGACGGGCTGGTAGCCAAAATGTGCTTTACCTCTGCGAACCGCGAGTTGCCGAGTGCTGATGCGATTGCTGCAATCGTGGCCTGGCCATCAGGGTTCAGGAAATTGACAATAGACTTGGTAACGAGCGTATCGATGGCGACGTATTTCGTGAAGTACTCGGTCGTCTTGTGCGTTAGGACGTTGGTGTAGATTGAGAAACCGATTGCACCGCCGACGAAACGGATACTGAGCGTGATGGCTGTAATTGTCGCGATATACTCGTCTGGAACGATTGTTTGCGCGATGATGGACGTGGGAATCAAAATGCCACCGACGCCCAAGCACGCGAATGAGACGACGACAAGGGTTTCGTTGATATTATCGGGCCGACCGATGGACATGGCACCGGTAGCTGCAGTCATCAGGGCCGTGAAGAAGATCATCAATTCCCTGATACGGCCCTTGGTGGCAATGATCAGGCCTAGACATATGGCTGCGCCGCCAATGATGCAGAAACCGACGGGAAGAGTTCGGATACCGATTGTTTTCTCGTCACCACCTGTGTACTGTTAGCCTCCGTGTCGGCACATACGCACTGTCAAACTTACCCCATACAGCGGTCAGCTCACTAGGCCATAGGAGCAACATGACAAAGTAGTTTCCACCGCTGAAGAAAGTGATGAGAAGGATAGAGATTGTGGTGCGCTTCGATTTGCTGAACAGCTCGCGTGGGCACATGGGGTACGGTGCCTTGAACTCCCAGATGAAGAATGCGATAATGAAAATCAGGCCGATGGTGAAGGGGGCAACGTTGTGCGCACTGCCCCACTTGTACTGTAGAGAAGACCACTGCAGGCCCATCATGAAGAGAGTGACGCCGGCGGTACTCAGGAAACCGCCAATGAAGTCGACCTTGCGGAGAACATCACGTCTAGTGTAGGTGTCGGTAATACGAGACGGGTCCTTGTAGAAGAGGATGCAGAGAACCAGGCCGATGAAGTTCCAAACACCGATGAAGATGCCGTTGTAGCGCCAGCTGGCTGCCTCGGAAATCCAGTGGGCGTACAAGGAACATGGCAGAAAGGGAATCATGGTCAAAATGACACAGCCGACGTAAAAACTGCGGTCCTTGATAGGAACAACTTCCCCAGTACCGGCGAGAGCAATGAGTTCATTGAGGCCTGCACCGACACCAGAAAATACCTGTCCAGCAATGGCGATGTTCATAGTATTCGCGGTTGACGTAATGATGGGGCCGATAATGAGGAAGATTTGACCAGCGATGGCTACCTTCTGTCGCCCGTAGAGATCCGACAAGGCGCCCACGAACGGACAGAGAGCGGCATTGGGAATAAGGTATCCGATGACCAGCCAGATGTATCGGTCTGCTCCACCAATGTCTGCAGTAATGAGTGAGAAGACGGAGCCGTAGAGGTAGAGCGCAATTTGAGAGCCAATGAAGAGAAATGACATGCACGTAAGTGTCATGAACAATCGCGGGTTCATCTAGTGGTTTAGTCAGCGGTATTCCGTAGGGGGATCAAAGATGTATTCACCTGTTGATGAACCTCAGGCCCCGGGCCTGGGTTAGCGACAGCATGTTGTTCATCGCTCTCGTTGACTGGCGTTTTACTGGTAATTGTCTCGAGTGGATGTCCCTCACGCTTCTCAAAGTCTTCAGAACGACTGGATGATCTCCCTGTATCCATCATTGTATTGACGATGCAAAGCTAAGAGGACATGCGTGAAAAACAGGACGGTCAAGCGGCTCAAGTAGTCCCTAGGCTATCGACGAGCACCATCAATGCGCGACTAGTCTTACTTATATCTTCTGTGCTCATCGCATGGCCGTAGCTTTTGCCAATCAATCGCTGCTTCGAGACTAGCCGACGATGCGCCGCCGTAGTACTGCCAGCTGAGGCGTGGGGCCCAGAGGCCGAGGGCGCAGGGCTATGCCCTGAATACCCCTCAAACGATGAGGTCCCGCTTGACGGCAGTCTTCCTGCAATGTTTCCCGTTTCCTACGTATCTGAAGGTGGATCTTAAAGTTTGGACTATGGTCGTGCGGGGCCCCGCTTGGTGTTTAGTGTTCGGAACAATAAGTGGTACCTCACTATCCGGGATGCGGGGTAGCTCCAAGTCGATGACGTAGTTACATTACTAAGCATAAAGACAGCGTTCACAGGTGCAGGCACATGCCAGCAATTCTTTCCATGTGAAACGCGCACTTCACTCGCGTTCACTGTTACCATGCATAGGTATCTTTGCCTCGGCGATTTTCCTCCCCAGCTCTTCGGACTATAGAAAACCTTAGCAAGACTGGGCTTCCCCTCCTGGAGCCAGGTCAGATACTCCAGACACTATGCGCATTGTATCGAGCTCATATAGCTGACCACTACTAAAGTGCGGCATCCAATGTATCTCTTCGATAGAGCTGCGAGGGCTGTTTATCGCTGTTTTAATCACATATATCACTACGAGAGTGATAATGGGCTTAGACTTAGACTTCGAGACGGGCTACACAAATGATATATTACTTGGCTTTGACGCACAGCTCAACCTGCTTCATATGTACACTGGTAAATTCTGTGGCACAAAATCTCAACAACTTTACAAAATCTGCTCAAGCATACCATTGGGCGTTAAGACGCCTTCTCTAACTCTTGAATGCAAGTCTCCTTCCTAAGATCCGTATCAGATGCATGGCCACCCAAATGATGGGCTCACAGTGGAAGGAGTAGGAGAGCAGGTTCTGGGACGCATGTTCCAGTTTTAAGCAAGATGTTGAGGATTAGCAACGACAGTGGCGGAAACAACGAAACCCCATAGGCACAGCAGTTCCCCATTATCGCAGACAAGTCTTGACAGATCTTAGGTGCAGACATCAACAATCGCTGTAGTTCAGTAACTCAACACGCTCCGATACGTGCCCAGTCGTTAAACTCAGATAAGGCCCACACCAGCCACGTTTTCCAGATGGGATAAGCTACGCCTAGAATCGGTACCCGAATAAAGATAAAAGTACTGATGGTGTTGCATATAGTATGAGGAACCAAGGCCTGATGAGGTGGAAACCAGAGGTGTCCACTCTCGCTGCAAGGCTTTAAGGTCATCCTAAGCTCAAAAAAATCACCAAAGATGAGGGTAGCAAGGATAAAAAAAAGCTATTTACTACAATCGCAAAACAGGCAAGTGAAATATAAGTTAGCGGTCCGGCGCAAACCTGAAGGGCAGAGGAAATGTTGTACTGCATAGGGAACACATCGAATTGAGGCAGATATGGAAGCTTAGCTCTTCTTAATCTTATAAATTACTGGAAGGGAATTTGGGTCATTAGGTAAAGGTCAGATCAGAAGAAGGTGATGTTGATGTGAAAGAGGGCGGTTAGCTAGGGGTCTCGCCTCTGTTAGGCAGAAGCGTTTGCCATTATGATGACGTGGTTTAAGCTAGGTTTCTCCCTTCCGCATTCCCATGTTGACTCGAATATTCCATTACAACACATATCAAGAGTTGCGCTTAGTCTGTTTGAAAATAAAGTGGGGTAGTGTAAGCGCGCTTGCTTGGGGTCATTCTCCTTGCTTATAAGCGACCACCACAAGGCTTCTACACGTGCTTTAAGCTCACCTTACGCGCTTATAGCACCTGCAGCACTGCGGCAAACAGCTTAGCTATCTCCTTGATTGTGTACACTGCCAGTGTTATACGGTACGTATCTGCTCTAGGTTGCCATCTTGGCGCACGAGACCCTATAGCAACATCAACCCACTGACTAAACAAGAACCCTCCCTTACACCTCTTCCTCTTCGTTTACCTACCTACGCTTTCCAATGGAATCCAGTTCTGGCGCCTACTCCAGCGCGACTGTCAGCGACTCTAGCGCAACTGTCAGCGCGGGCGGCAATGCGAGTGTTAGCGAAAGCGTACTACAGTCACAATCGCGATCAGAAGCAGAAACAGAATCAGAACCAGGATCTCATGGCACACCACCTGGAAACCTACCGAATAGAAGAAAGAACCTCTCCTGGAGCGACTTCCAACACTGTGATTCCATGGATGAGCCCGCGTCTACTGCCGAAAGCACGCCACCTACAACCCTTGCCGAAACCGCGGACCTTCTTCGAAAAGAACGCACTAGATTTCTAAACAAGGTGCCTGTTGACCTGAACAGCACACTCTGTTATCCTCCGGATCGGTCTGCTGTCATTTTGGTATATGACACAGCCCTCTCGCGCATCTCTGCCAACAACCACCTCAACATCTATGTCGAAGCCAAATCCAAGATCAACATCATCATCGGCCTGAACAAAGTTAGGTGTACTGATCCTGCTTTCAAACAGGGTATACTGCCGCCCCTCGAGCCCATGTATGCAGGCCCCCGGATCGAGTACAACAAAGATCCATACGGACGCCACGCGCAATGGAGGCTGAATGCTTGGAGGAAAGACCGCTGGCCGCTGTTCCTACCGGTAGAGGCCATGAAGCGTGAGAGAGTTATGAAAAACAGGACACTAGAAGTAGGAGAGGAGAGGTGGAAGTTGGACGAGGAGGATTGGGAGGACTCAATGAGCGGTCGTGAGGGAATGAAGATAGTGCGAAAGTGAAAGAGAACTCATACACAAATGGGATACTGGGATGAGTAGATGCGTACGTCATTGATTGGCACAAGCTAGGAAGTGCTTAGAGCAAAAGTTGAGTGTATTTTGGCTTCCATTTGGAAGGGAATGAATGGCAGATGGCACCTGGAATTGTAAGTTAGCAAAATTGCGAGTTCTAGCAACTGCTGATTTTTGTTGCCAGGGCCGGGAGAGAATTGATACAGAGTGTGAAAGGGCACAAAACCAGCGGGCGTCAAAGTGAAAGTATAGAATACCAATTCACTGTCAACAAAATGAATCATTCACTTACAGTGCCCGCGTACTGTGTGAATGTATAGCTATAGACCTGGACCACGCCTATATATTCTCTGCTTAATTCCCCTAACTATACCAGCACGACTGAGTTTGCTCGAGATCTCAACTCCAACCTTCAACAGCACAATGGGTTCGGAAAACGAGGATCGCCGTTCTACGCGCAAGCAATCAAAGCTTACATCGTCCCCTACGCTCCTTCCTGTTCACGAGGAGGAGGTCATGGAAGACATTTCTGTTCATGAGGAGGAGGTCATGGAAGAAATTTTTCCAGAGCTTGACGGAGAGGTTACTGACACTTCTGCTTCAGACAACCATGAGCCTGTTGCTACACCTCCGCGCTCTCCCTCTATCTTTGCTACTTCCTCATCCGACTCAGAGGAAGAGCAATAGTCACCCAACCTTGACACCTCAGGCTTTATGCCCTCGGCTTCCAATGACTTACAGTTCGAGTATGACAGCCCCACCGGTCTGGATGCCGAGGAACTCAACGCGTTGTTCAAGCTACCCCCTCGTCCTAAGAATGATCCTCGCGATCTTGCTAGCTTGAAGACTGAAGGTATAGCTAAGTCTTTCATGTGGCTAGGGATAAAGCCGAAGCTGGGTCTACCATATGATTTGGTGCATGGGATGGAGCAGCAGCAGGCGAAAGATGCGAAGAAGCTCGAGGAGCGGAATGATATGTATGATGAGCTAGACGAGGGGGAGCAACAGGCGAAGGCCACGGAGGAGGATGATGAGACTATTGAGGCTCGTCCGGGAAAGCGACAGAAGAAGGCCATGGAGGATGATGATGAGGCTGGTACGAAGGCTACAGAGGACGATGATGAGTCTGATGAGGCTCGCCCGGCAAAGCGACAGACGAAGTAGGGGATATGAGAACCGGGTTCAGGGAAAATGTGAGTTAATAGATGTCCCACCCTATCTTCATCTACGGATGTGTTGTAGTATCACAGCATGAATCCAAGATTTTTGCGATTTAGCTTCATTCCTTCCATGTTCAAATCATGCCCTCGTTCGTGAAGTGATTTCCCTTTGGAGACTCCAGTTATACAAGTGACCACCCTTAAGGATGTAATTGCTATCCACATACTCTCTCTCTTTCTACTGACGGGAAAGTGCCTTTCCCTTGACCCTGCACAATAACTGATACTCAACTTTACTTACTACCCCCAAAACTACGCTAGTCCTGATTTCGACTGACCATCATCAACTTGTTTACACCTTGATGCTGCCTCACCAACCTACGTCCAGGCACCACTAAATACCACACACTCACATTACACAATAACAACAACACTAAAGCCAACATGTCTAGACAAAAGACTACACCCGTACGTATGCATCGCACTGACGTATTCAGCACATTTACTAACAGCCCTATAAAGGAAGACATCGAAGCTGCAGCCACCATGCTGACATTGCGTCAGCCGGTGGTCTTCGCCAACAGCAACCAAGACCCTGGCAACTACAACGAGCGTACCGACGCACGCGCGAGGGCCGTATCTACACTGTCTGCGGCAGACTCACAGGCGACAGTGTCGGCCGCGGAGACGATTTCGCGCGAACCGACACCGACACCGCCAGCTAGGCGCATTAACACTGCGGGTGCTACGGCATAGGATGGCCTTGGACACAAAGCCAGTAATTCGGGCGCAAAGAGAATCTCCTTGGCGGAGTATACTGCGATGAGGAAGAAGACTGCGAAGGATAAAGCTAAAGGGGAGTAGGCGGTAAGGGGCGTGGCAACGGTGGAGGACACTGAGGCACAGAACGCGGGATGTTGGCCTTCAAGGATTCTTTTGGTTATGATGAGACGGAGTTTGATGCATTGGATTCGGTAAAGACATGTATATATTAGACGGGCATAGCCAATATCACTCAGTTGGCGAATACCGAGGAGCAGGACTGCAGAAGTTTATGTGATATAATGCTTCATTGTGACTCGACGTGTGGTCAGTAGAGATATATACGCACATAGGCAGCTATGTATTTGCATTGCTGAGGTCATGCACAGTGGATCAGATGGCCATAACCCGGTCACGCGTGTCAGCTCGCTAACAAGCGTTCAGCTTTGCGTAATAATGAAAAGGATGCCGCAAAGAGGTACCATCTTCAATTCAAAAAGTAATTCTTTGCCCTGGAAGGCTTGCTGTATGGAAAGTGGATCTGGACGGCCTGACTCTTTGACTGAGGAGCTCATACCTGTGCGGGTGACGAGGGGGGAGGCGAAGAAGAAAGCGATTAAAAAAGATGCGGAGGTGGAAGTCAAGAAAGAGAAGAAGACGATGGAAGTTCTGATTGCTTCCACGCGTATGCTTCTCTACACTGAGGCGATTGAGACCGTGATGGCGGCTCGCCAACGTCACCGTCTAAGGCGAGGACTACGAGGCGACAGAGTCGCAAGACGGAGACATGGAGGACGGCGGTGAGTTTGGGGAGGAGACAGACGGTATCGTGGTGGACGAGGAGGTTTGTGGCCGGGGTGGAAGAGGCCAAGGTCGCTCGAATCCTCCAGAAGCTGCTGGTAGTCGTCAAGACCACTGGAAAGAGAAAGTGGAGCGAGAAGGCCAGGGATGAGTTGAGGTGGGCCTGGAGAGACTACAAGCGGTATTGGAGGTAGTCGGCGGTGAAGAGAGTGGGTAGCTGGAGACCCTTACATCCATGCCATATCGGCTATGGAGACGACACTTACTGTAAGTACTGGTAGCCGCGGAAGCAGCATGTGTGCAAATACATGATTCCAATATGCTCCGCAGGCTATATCCTTAAATTTCTACAACGCACGAGTATTCGCCAAATACCGCCTTTCTGAAACTCGGATACCCGGTCGCGTTGACAGGGTTGTGGCTTGCTATTATGCGTCTACGTAGAAGGCGGCTCTTGGGAGGTCTTGAGAAGAGCGAAAAAACCAGTTCCATCGATCGATGTGAGTGTAATATCACGTAGTTGTACACTGTCCGAGTGCCGTGTTTGCCGTCATATGCTTAGCAGCCGCGTCAGAATGTGGGCTGTAAAAAATGAAACGTGCACCGCCACACCTGTCGCCCAAAACACCGAGTGCATGACGACGCGCGAAACAAGACTTGTAAACAACACGTTCGTCCCAAGAATAGAAATGTCAGTTACAGAAGCAATGGAGATGAAAGGGACAAGAGGAAAAAAAGTGAGAATAAGCGGTGACATGACCAGCACAAAGAGGAGAAGATGCGCGAAGGTTTGGCAACGCGTCGCATCGGGCACGGCGCTAAGACAATAAAGAACGGAAGAAGCCAATCAGACGACAGCAGGTGGCAGCATGGTCATGCGCCACTTTGCGGTGACGTCGTTTCAGGCCTTGCCAGGGAAAGAAGTCGCGGCGACAGCATCATCGCACAGCCTGGCCATTCCACAGGCATAAAGGACAAGGGAGCTGCTGTGTCGCACTTCTCTTATTCTGTCTCTCCACTGCAAAACCTCCGCTATTGATCTTCGCTGCTAAAACTCGTCCTTATCCGCACACCCCTACGCCCATCAATTTCACACATCATCAATATCCAGTTCCAGAAACATGGTTGCTCCAGCTATCGTCATGGGCCTGCGTGGCGCCCAGGTCGTCTTCAGCATCATTGTGCTGGGTCTTAGCGCATATCGTATGTCGCCAAGAGCAATATCTTTCTCAACTCCCTACTAACGATGCAACAGTGGTCGATGCCTATGTCGCCTGGACCCCGGCGAGTGTGGCTTTTATGCTCTTCACGTCTATCTGGACTCTGCTTGTCGTCGCATATCTTGTTCTCGCGCCCATGCGATTCCCTGCCGCAGCCCACAAATACGCCATTATTGGCGTTGAATTCATCACCATGGTCTTCTGGTTTGCTGCTTTCGTCTCTGTAGCTACGCGCTGGGGTGGCTACTGGTGGGTGGGCAGGCATAGCACCTTCCACAACTGCGGTGTTGCTGCTATCGTCTTTGGAGCCTTTGCCTGGTATGTTGACCCATCTTTCTTGGTGGCGTGACGCATTACTAACTTGATATAGGTTGACATTCGTGGCTACCACCGTGCTCGCTGCACTACATATTCGCAGCAGCCCTAAGAGCGACACCACTGCTTCTCCCAGCATGGCCATGGCCTAAGCGTCACTTGGCTGGTGAAATCTACTCGTCGATGACGCAATGCGATGCAGGACAAGGATCCGTCTTGCACTCAATGATACCCCATCTATCTCTTATTTCCATATGCAATATATTGGCGCCCGGAATGGGATGCGGCGCGGCGTTGGTGGTTCGTGAAGTCGGCTCGATATCCTGGTTACTTTCCTCATCTCAAGAGAGATAGTTTACGCATAATGACACGATAATTTTCAGACATTGCTCTTAACGCTGCACATTGAATCTACGTGAACATCGCTGGTCAACCATGTATTCACGCAAAGTGTCTCGGCTCATTTTTATGTTGCACACGATAATTTAATGATGATGGTTTGTATTGTGAACTACGTACAGTCGACTCAACGAGGCATCCCAAACTATCGCATCCAAAAGACTTGGAACAATTACAGCGACGCAGCCCATTCGTGATCGCAGGAAAACCCCTAGCCGGTTTGTGTCGTGCCCCGCGTTGTGCCCAAGAAAGGGTGACTGGTTCGTGCAATATTGTATCTCCAGCCAATTGCAAACGTTGTGCTGTCTTCTATCGGCCAACATCAAGCTTGTCGACCGAAGACCCATATTTACTGCAATTGCTCAGGCGGCTAGCATGTGCAGTTAAACGGGACCTGGATTCTCTCTACGCGCACCTTGTTGTTGTAGCAGGGATACGACAGAGGCGCTTTGCACGTGATGTCATTGTTGACAGTGTGAAAGACACTTCCACCAAGAGAAGCACATATATTTTTCCTTTCGTCCAGAAACGTTGCGGCGGGTATTCTGCCTTCGGTGTTGTCATAAAATATCGTGCAGTTTTTGTAGTCTTCCTGGGCAGTAACGGACGTAATCGCAACGAGCGTTGCAAAGAGGATCGATTTCACTAAGAAAGGAAGGCGTTAGTTGTGTGGCCCGTGTAAGATATCCCAAGACACTTGAGACTTACTTTTGGCGGTGTACAGAGGGAAGCTGTTCAGTTTCTTTGGGATTTGATTTATAGCCGTGATCGGTTCGTGCGTGTAGGATGCAGATCTCGGGATGTTTCTGGACTTAGGTGACAGGACGTGTGACGATGGAAGCTTGAGGATGAGAAGATTGGAGCGGGTGAGACAGGAATATATAGTAAAAATGCTGATCCAAGTGTCTAGTCTGTGGTTTTCTGAAAAAGAGCTTGATAGCCTTTGTTCAGTGCTACACAAGGGAATCTAGCCGATAGGAAGGAGGCGGATACGACTCCCTACTGATCATCCAGTGTTGGGAGTTCGCCATGATTTTTGTTTGTTGGTTCTCTCCACGATAGGCAAGTATATGAAGAAGCTTGGTAGAGCTCTCGTCAAATCGAGTAATCGATGGTTCTTCAGTCTGATACGCCAAGGATAGCTCTCCACAACACCCGGTCTATCATAGGTCGGGCGGTCACACGATCGATGGCGATGACGGTATTTTCGCTGCCTGTGGAGAAATGGGACCTAAAATGTGAGTATGTGCATACCTACCTATGTGTGAGCCAATTCATAGTGCTGACTTGCTAGTGTTGGGATTATCGGCCCGGGTACAGGCCGTGATGAACCATTTTACCGCCACAAATCGTAACTCGCCTTAATTTCTGTCACGGTTTGGGGTCTATCCTGTTCTGCGTCTGCAGTCGCAACTCACTTATGGTAAAGGCGCGATGCCTATTAAGGGCTAGTGCTGTTGATGGTCACCCACATACATATACAGTTCGTAGCCTCATACAATACCACCTCACCGAACATCAACTTTTCCAGGTCAACGAAAGGTCGATATCCATCGATTTTTCATCAAAACAAGACTCAAATGCCTTCTTAAATCTGTTTTCCAGCGTCCTCTTCCGGCTGCAGGCGCTGTGGCAGGCGCGCTGGCCTCTTTTGTCTTTCATCTCCCTGGTGAGCTGAGATGTCTTCAAAATGGCCCGTGCGCTACTCAGATTTTCACGTTCGGTCGAAGGCCACAACCACCGCTAAGACAAGGAGACAGCCTTGACACTCCTTGTTCTTGCAAGATACAGGCATCTGCCAGGCCTAAATACAAAGGCTCTCCATGCGCAGAGCTACGGCACGACCCGACAGAGCACCGGCTCTCCACACCTACAACGACGAGAGCTGCCCGCAGCTCTCTAAAGACCAACGGTCAGAGTCCCCGACCTGACACAACACGCAAATAAGGCAGCCAGCATAGCCTTACATACAAATTGGAGACGGGAAGGACAACTTCTGGCATCGCCTTGCCTTCACACCCACCTCTCCTACACCTCGAAGGCCCTGTCCCTGCTTCATGCAGGGCCATGACACCTACACGACAGAGCACTGGCTCTTGACCGCAAATAAGGCAGCCAGCATGGCCTTACAGATTCGCAACTTTAAGAGATAAAGAAGAAGGACAGGCCTGGCTCTGCCTCCCTACTACACCTATCTCCTTCGACACAGGCATCGCCAAGCCTAGTACAAAGGCTCTCCTCGCGCAGAGCCACGGCTCCGATTCGACAGAGCACCGGCTCTCCACACCCACGTACCTTTTTCTTACTCTCTCTTACGGCACTTAGCTGCCTCAGAACACAAGGGATCCACCCTAATGCCTACTGGCCCCAGAACAAGAGCTCTGCTTCATTGCTCAACACATCCCTGGCCCCACGGCCCAGAACCTAGATAGAGTCTTTTCAACTGGCGGAAATTACCCTACCAGACTGCACACACTGCCAACACCCAAAGAATAGGAGCACCTGAGTACCATACAGGGCGCTACCCGTCTTTCATGCCCCCTGGGAGGCTTTCATAGGACGTTAAACAATACATACATACATACATACATACAATACCACCTCACCGAACACCAACTTTTCAATTTTATGGTACCCTTCAAAACAGTCCCAAAACCCGTCAGATTGATCGCAACACAGCTCCGATCCTACCTCCGCCATCCTCCAGCCGTGCAGAGCACTGCGAAGGACAAGAATGGCGGACGTAGGGACCCCAGATCGTCCTTTGGCGCCTGGGAATCCGGCTGCAACACGACCAGATGAGCCCGCCTCACCCAATCACCAGAACCTTTTACGCTCCTCCAGATGGTCCCAGATGACTCCTCAGTCTGGCTTCTCTCTGAATACCGGTAGAGGAATGTGCAACCAGGCATCAGCCAGTTTAACAGGTGTGGTAACCCAGAAGATTGCACCAGCACTCCAGGCCCTCCAAACCAAGTACAACATGATCTCAGCACTCGCTAGCACTATCGACGCCTTTATGGGCCAATACACGAGCCCAGAAGAAGCTCCAATTGCCAAAGCCATCTGCAAACAAGTCACAGAGGCCCTGACCAGCACCCTTAGTCCCTCCCAGGGCACCACTCCCAGGACTACACCCAACGCAAGCAATTCTGAATCCCCCCACCAATCTTGGGCGGAGGTGGCCAAAGCCCCGAAAAACTCGGCCCCCCTGGCCAGGGGTGGGGCTAAGACCTATCCGGCAGCAATCGCCCAAAAGAATGCTCCACACAATAACAGACCAACTGATCAGCGCATCCTGATCACCACCCCAGCAGAGGCACGCCTCGCGCGACCCTCTGGATACGCAGTTCGGCAGGCCATCTGCCAGGCAGTCCCAAATATCACTTTGGCTGACGTGCTCAAGGCCACCGCAACAAAGACGGGCTGGGCAATCACCCCAGCCAGCCTCGAAATACAATCACGCCTCATGGAGGAGGAGAACCGCCAGCTTATGATCCAGGCAGTCGCTGGAGACAGCGCAAAACTCCCCACCGTCTGGACTAACTACGCGGTCCAGGGACTAGCTAGCGCCTTTACAGCTCTCGACGGAACACCTATTAATGTCACTACTGAGTTAATTAAGGAAGAAGTGCTCGCACAGACACAGAAAGAGCCGGTTAGCTGCCGGCCTTCTAGGCACGGTCCTGGAGCAAACATGCTGACTACCTGGATTATATCCTTCACCGAGAGGGTCCCCTCATTCCAGCTCTTTGACAGCAACTGGTCTAAGGAAATCAAGAAGGCCCCCATTATCGAACGACATAATCCTGGCTGCCAGGGCTTCTGTAACCCCACCAGATGTACCCGAGACCCTCGTTGCGGCACCTGCAGCATTCCTATAGCGAAACACACCGGCCCCCATGGGGACTTGTGCGAAGGCCGCCCTAGATGCGCCAATTGTCACGGGCCCCACTGGGCCTCATACTCCAACTGCGCTGCAGCTCCCTGGAGAACCGCTGGCCGGGTTGTCAGACCTACAAAGAAAGAGCTGAACGCAGCCCGCCGGGCAGGACACCTAGCCTACCTCCAGGAAAGCCTCCAAGCCAACGCTTCTGGAGGTAGCGTAGATGAAGCAGCACCAGACCTCCCCCGACCCACAACCGCAGATGAACCCACTGAGGTCCCAACACAAGCACCGGCCAAGAGAAACCGAACCCCAGCAACCTCTACCTCCGAGGCTGGGTCCACTCTAGGACCAGCCAAAAGGCCTACACGCAAAACCCACAAAACTACTAACCTCAACCTGCGCCAACTCTCACAGCAGAGCGTTACCCGTAAACCGGACCACACTAGTTCGTCGTCAGAAGCGACAGACGTTGAAATGAGCGAGTCCTCTTCTGCATGGTAGGACAACACCCACACAACGCCGGCGGTAACCAGCCGCACACACCAGCCCAAGGTATATTGATTGCCTGGGCCAACGTTGGTAGGAGATCACCTAGCCACATCGCAATCTTGCAACTTGCATGGGAAACAAAAGTAGACGTTGTATGCGTCCAAGAACCTTTCACCTGCTTAGACTCTAAAACCTCAACACACCCTGGGTATAACTTGCACGCCCCAGTGACTAACTGGGGCCATAATGACCCTAAAACTAGAAGAGCACTCCGCCCTCGGGTTATGACCTATGTCCGTAAAGACTATAGACTTGAGTCTGAAGTCATCTTCCCAAAAATTAACCGAGACCTGCTCTGGGTTAAGGTGAACGGCTACTCAATTCTTAACGCTTACCGCTAACCTGCCAGCACTGGAGTCTTACAATACATCACTAACTGCACTCCCCCACCCTTATCTATTGTAGGGGGGGACTTCAACGCCCGCCACCCAGCCTTTGAGCCTGGCACAGACGCCCGCAACGGGGGCATTGAACTGAATCAGTGGTCAATTAACAACAACATGAGCTTCATTGGAGAGCCGGGCGAAGCCACACACCAGGCT